ACAGATACTGAAAGGCTGAAACGTTATAATAAATATGGCAACAAAGATGAGGACAATAGTCCGAATAATGTAAATAGTGTATATAATACCTCATCTCAGAAATATAGACAGATACTGAAAGGCTGAAACGTTATAATAAATATGGCAACAAAGATGAGGACAATAGTCCGAATAATGTAAATAGTGTATATAATACCTCATCTCAGAAATATAGACAGATAACGTTGTCTTATTACTAGTTCTACACATACATATATATGCATGCCCTGACACTTAGCAAAGTATACATTTAAATGTTATGGAATAAAACCATAGATTTTTTTAAAAAAAATATTCACACAAATATGAACTTATTTTATTTCAATGTTTCTATTCAAATATTTGTGCAGCTTGTTTAGTGTGAAACCCGTGCCTGGTGTTTTTTCACGATTTCTTTAATGTTTGGTTGAATGTGCAATAAGCAGATCGTCATTTCTTCTTCAGTTGAGCGTAGTCTTTCTTGCTTCTTATTTTTTTATATTATTTAAGGTTGAGAAACTAATTCACATAAATAAGATGTAGAAAATTGCAATAAAACTGATAAAGCCTTTTTAGCTAATGTGGAATAAAAAGTTTAATACTTAAATATTTATTCAAATGCTAACGCAATACCACTACTACTTTACACACACACACACACACACACATATATATATATATATATATATATATATATATATATATATATATATATATATATATATGCATGCTCTGACAACATTTTTGCGGCACTCTTGAGAGAATCGTGCGGCACACTATTGTGCCGCCCACGACACGGCAGTTGAGAATCACTGGTATAAGACTTCCATTATATCTTGTTGAAGCCACTAAATATTTATTTCTAAACAAATTCTATGTGAATGATATATATTTAGCTGTTAACAAAAAGATTGTGAGTACAAAAGTAAACAAGTAGTGTATTTTCTTATGAATTATACAGGACATTTTGAACGAAAATTAAACGCAAAATGGAGGCCGTACACTTTTTCATAAATTTTTACTCAGCTTAAAAAAGTACACGTTTTCAGACATTTTTACTCGGCTTAAAAAAAACCTCTTATTTGAAACAGCTTGATTGCGAATACACTCTGCACAATAGATTATAAAACCCAAAGTAGGCAAAAATTGTTTACAAAAGGTATTGATGTGTCAGTAATATTTGTTCTTTGGGGATCAGCGTGATTGAACGTTTTTTTTTTTTGTTTGTTTCAAAGACAGAAAATTCACCGAAATTGATTAAATATATCAACAAAAAGAATACACAAGATCTGTCATGTTTTGATAACGTTAATATTACACCAAAGGCCTAACTATTGTATATATTATGTACTTTTTAAAGTTTTTTTTTCCATTTCAAAAATGGGGCGATTATTCCCACGCTGTGAGGTTATTCCTCCGTTTGTTGACACAAAGTATCCCGTTTGAAAATTTCAAATATTACGATCATTCATGTGGATACGACATTGAGATTTTAATAGATAATATGGTGCAACTTTTCAAAAGAAAATTACATAGGGATCGTATTAGACTCATGCACGTAAGTTTTTAGCTTCAGAAACCGTTGTCGCGTTATTCACAAGAAAATCTAAAAGAATTTCTCATTTTTACGAAGATTAGTGGGAGATGAGAGAACGAAACTTTTCTTATTTCAAATATGAAATAAGGCGCATACATAAACAAACAAGACTCGAAACCCCGATGTGAAATTTAAAACAAACATACATTTATTACAATTACATAAAAACAATAAAACAGAATACATAGGTTGGAAATAAGCTTACACAAAATTGTTCTTTTGTGTGCCTTATTATTAAGCCGAGATGGCCAGTTCAAAAAATTAAATATGGATCATAAAAGCTGATAAGTTTTTTAGCAAAACTTTCAGTAATCAAAATATCTTTTGGAAAGGTACACTACAATTCCTTCAAAAAAGGTTTTAACAATTATATTCTTTTAAAAAGATACACTTATTTGAAAGTCGAAGTTGAGAAGGTTGGCAGATTCACTAGAGTCGCTGGGACTTTAACATTTTTTTTTTTTTTTGTTAAACTCAGTTCGATTATTATTTTTCACTTTTCTGGTCTCTTTTAGCTTCTGTTTCTTTTTCTTCTGTTTCTGTTTCTTTCGTCTTTTGCGTCTTTCGTTAGAAACAGCCTGGTTCATCCAATGGTGAATATCAAAATTCCTTATCCTTCTTTAGCTTGCACACTTCTGATTTCTTCAGCCTTTCGGATTTCTTTTCCCCGTCTGATTTCTTATCTCCTTCTGATCTCTTCAGCCTTTCTGATTTCTTCAGCCCTTCTAAATTCTTCAGCCCTTCTGAAGTCTTCAGACTTTGATTTCTTCTCCCCTTCTGATTTCTTCTCCTCTTCTGATTTCTTCTCCTCTTCTGATTTCTTCACCCCTTCTTATTTCATCAGCCTTTCAGATTTCTTCTTCTCTTCTGATTACTTCATCCTTTCGGATTTCTCTCCCCTTCTGGTTTCTTCTTCCCTTCTCATTTCTTCTCCCCTTCTCATTTCTTCACCCCTTCTGATTTCATAAACCTTTCAGATTTCTTCTTCTCTTCTGATTACTTCATCCTTTCGGATTTCTCTCCCCTTCTGATTTCTCTCCCCTTCTGATTTCTTCTCCCCTTCTGATTTCATAAACCTTTCAGATTTCTTCTTCTCTTCTGATTACTTCAGCCTTTCGGATTTCTCTCCCCTTCTGGTTTCTTCTCCCCTTCTGATTTCTTCTCCCCTTCTGATTACTTCTCCCCTTCTGATTTCATAAACCTTTCAGATTTCTTTTTTTCTTCCGATTACTTCAGCCTTTCAGATTTCTTCTGACCTTCTGATTTCTTCAGCCTTTCTGATTTCTTCAGCCCTTCTAAATTCTTCAGCCCTTCTGATTTTTTTCAGCCTTTGATTTATTCGGCTGTTCTGATTTCTTCTGCTCATCTGATTTCTTCTGACCTTCTGATTTCTTCAGCCTTTCTTAGTTCTTTTCCTATTCTGATTGCTTTTCTCCTTCTGATTTCTTCAGACTTTGATTTCTTCAGCCCTTCTGATTTCTTCAGCCATTCAGATTACTTCAGCCTTTCTCATTTCTTCTGCCCATTTGATTTCTTCAGCCATTCATATTTCATTAGCCTTTCTCATTTCTTCTGCCCTTCTAACTTCTGTTCTTCTCTAACTTTTACCTTTCAGAATTTTTGTATCCTCTTAATTTTTCCAATTAACACGTTTTTTTTTTATATAGGCCTCAAATATACTCCAAGCACGAGTCCGCAATTTTAAATTTACGCAATTTTTAATTTACATCATCCTCTTCTATCGGAAGAAAAAAAACAAAAGTGTATCTATTTTCGAAATTTGAAAATCAAGTTACAAACCGTACGCTTTATTTCGGTGATTCTTTTTCGAGCCATTCTATTATTAAAAGTTTAAAGTATAAATATTTTACAGGAAATAAACCCTGTTTCCAACACAATTAGATACCGACATACATACTATATTAAAACCCACTTATTCTTTACCCAATAACAAATAATATTTACAAACATGCCAAAAAGATTCCACAATAAAACACACGCGGTTTAAATCAAATTAACATCACTATGTGAAGTATTTGATCAAACTAAGAAAACTAAAACAAATTTTCTCGAACTCGAAAAATGTCTTGTAAAAACCCACAGATTTCGACTTTCAGAAACAGAGATGCGACTACTTCCAAGCCGTTCAAACACAAGAGAAGATATGGCTACATAGCTTCTCCACCTCCCCATAGAGTGCTGAAAGAAACATGTATGGACGATTTCAAACGAATAATCTCCAGCAACAACAGCTTGGACGGTCAGCGAATCTTCGCTGACGATCAAAGTTTTTTCTAAACCTTAGGTTTTTCTGTGGACCAACTACCTAAAGACCTTAACTCAATTTAAGACTATTTTTATTCTTTTTGACTTTTTTGAATTAATGTACATATATTTGTAAATATTGTACAAATGATTGTACAAACAGGCTTGAGACCATGGTTTCTTTATTTTTATTTTATTATTGTTTGGAATTCGGACGTTCGGATTTTTAATATAAAAAAAACCTGGGAGAATTTATTAGTTAACTAACTTAAGAAGCCGCCCTGTCGGGCGACATTTAAGCTAGCTACTATGGAGGGCCTTTATCACAATAGGTAGGGAGGAGTAATAAACTACAGAACTCAAAATTGATTGCTGCATTTAAGTACTGCATTAATATTTAAGCTTACCATCAACGATAATTCTTCTGTCGCCATTTAATTTGATGTACGTAGGTCCTTACTTTTCGTACAAAAATTATTTTTATTTCATGGGTGACTTTCGCTGGATGTCGCAATTAATTTCAATTATTCCCATAAAAATTGTTATCGTACAAAAAAATATGTTGCAAAATATCAGGAAAATTCGCCGAAATTAATCGCAGTAATGAAAACTTTGGAATCCAAAATTTCAGGATTGCAGGTCCGGATCCGGCCTGGTTTGTTTTAAACTTGCTCACAGAGTCGGCCTGATTCCGAAATGGTATTATATGTTGGGCTACGGCCTCTAGGAGTAAAGTTGAAAAAGTGTGACACACTAAGATTCGCATTTATTATATAGATTATTTATTAACCATCTGTCTTTCTTTAATTATTTTAAACACTTCTCAAGTGTAATAAAAAAAAAAAACTAGTCTATTATAATATTTATTTTTCACTTTTTATTAATTAATTTAACTTACATTTTTTATATAAATTTTTATATTTTCCCCTCAAGTCAAAGAGCAATAAAGAAACTTATTATTGTATGAATTTTTTAACTTAGCTTATATTCAACTTTTTAATTATTTTATATGAGTTTCTTTTATAAATGCAATAATATAACGACCACGAGAAAAGTAATATTTATTCGATATAAGAAGTTATGCATGTGATCATACAAAATATTTGAATTTCTGTTCTAGGCAACCTCAGTGCTCAAGTCCTTGGACCGGATGGAAGGTTGCAGGTGTACGTTGAGGATAACAGCGCTGTGACCGCCATAAGCTTTACACCAAGTCATGAAGGTAACAAATGGATTGCGCAATCTTTTGTATTCTTCACAACTCGCCTAGCAACAAAAAAATTCTTTAACTTCTCGAATCACGGATTTATTTATAACTTCAATTCAGTTACAACATCGAACTTCATATGCTTCAGATGCAATCAATGCTAGATTAGTACATGGTTTATTTTAAAGGTAATCAAATTGCACTTGTAATTAATTAGGAGACAGTTCGATCTTCATTAGGTCTCCCATATGTGTAGCCCTGGGACTAAGCTACGCTTAGTAAATAACAATACTTGATTAATAATAGTTCATTTAATAAGCAGTATAGCGTGTATTTTTAACCAATGCATTAAATCGTGTTAAATTTCAGTTAAAATAAGAATGTGTATTTATATAGAGAAAAATGCGTTTCCTATGAATTTTTATGTACATCGAATGAATTTATTTGGGAAATTATTATTTTCTAAAATTTGATCTATAATTTATACACTGCTAATCTGATCATGAATTTATTTTCAAAGACCAAAAGAAACCACTTCATTCATAACGATAAAAAATATCAAATTTTGAAGTAGGCGAACAAAGAAACCGTTAAGATATAATAAAGGATGAATAAAAACACAAGAAAAGATATGGTTACATAGCGTCCCCATTGAGTGCTGAAAGAAATATGTATGGATGAATTCAAACGAATAATCTCCAGCAACAACAGCTTGGACGGTCAGCGAATCTTTGTTTTAAAATTGTGGGTGAACGAAAAAGACTCGCTCTATGCATAAAGACTATCTTTTTATATTTTACTGTAAGGTTCACTCTTTACAAGGCCCGGAGGCCACTCGAGGTAAAAGGTTATGTTAGGATGCAATTTGTGTATATAGGAGTGGAAGATAACAGTTAACCCTAGCCTTGGGCAGGTTACCCGATCCCGTTTTATATGGTGTCTATGAGGAATTTTTGGCCAAGCCTACGGGTTCGGATACTCCACATTAAATTCAGTCTTGTGCCACATCGGACCGCGTGGGGCGGTTGGTAGATGCCCTGCAGTTAGAGATTCATTGTGGAATTCACTTGACTCTCTTTTAGCAGTTGACTACTACTTCTACGTGCCGCTGGCGAATCTTATATGTGTTGTTCTTGTCCTAAGTATTATCGTTCATTACAAACCCTCGTGTGATTATTCTATTCAGTAACCTTCCCTAGGTTACAACATTTTGGCGACAAGGATTAGCCAAAATTACAACACTAAGAGAATTCTTTTTGCTGGAGAGAATTGGAGAAGAGAGAACTTCCCCTCTCTTATCTCGAACATTAACAAAGGCGCATACAAGCAGAAAACTCAAAACTACTGCGTGACATTTTAAAAAAAGAAACATTTATTACAAAGCATTAAAACAATATAACAAAATAGGCATGCACAAAATTTTCCTTCAGTGCGCCTTAAGGCAAGGTAATGTATCAAAATATATATAAACTAGCAGTAGAGCCTGGCGTTGCCCGGGGCTATAACAGTAAGAGATAGATCAAGTATCAACCATCATAAAGACTGAAAAATAAAATTGACAAAGATTATTGTTTAAGGTTGACGGACATGCATGTCTTAATTAGTTTTATTTTTTTGTTTTGTTTTTTTTGTTTTTTTACGAATTGGTCAAACCCAAACTCAAACAAAAACATTGTTTTCAATCGTTATGAGTCTATCGATTGAATAGAATTTTATTATAAACAATTGTCTTGTAAATGGAATTTTTAAAGCATTCTGAATGTAAAAATAAAGAAAAAAGTGTGCAAGACAATAAGAAACAATACCTGCCAAAGAAAAGTGAAGTTTTGTTGAAATCGGTTGAAAAATGTAGGAAATCCGATCCCATATATAAACGAACACACACACACACACACAAACAACCTGGGTTCTATAAGTATAACTCGATATGAGTTGTCCCTTTTCATTCTGGCGACAGAATCGTGTTTTATCGTGTTTTCAAATTGATTTTGTGCAAAAACAATTGTGTTTTTCCCATTTTGGGCGCTGTTAGAACCAACGCAAGGTAATTTTACGTAGTCCTGTGAAGTTTTGTTGAAATCGGTTGAAAAATGTAGGAAATCCGATCCAATATATATAAACGTACAGATACACACACACACACACACACACAATCTGCGTTTTATAATAAGTAAGATGTTACAAAACAATATTCGAAAAATGGAAAAAAAATTTTTAGAAGGTAATACAAACTTTGAAAGAGGCAGAAAATACTCTTTGAAAAAAAATATGTACCCACCTAATCAAAAGAGGAAAAAAAAATCACAGAACGATGGCAGCATTGGCATTTTCAAACCATTGGTGTTAAGAGACTTTTAACAATTTATCTTTTATTGAACACAGTTCTATTTAGAGGTTTCAGTTCCTTTTTACATATGCTTCTCAAGTGGTAGCCCAAAATTGCTTTCCCTTCTGGGTCGTTATCATTCATCCTTCAGGGCGATGTTTTCATGTCACTTCGTCTTCTGCCTTGGTCGAAACATCTGATTACTTCTTCCGCGATAATTACATTGCTTTCAGGCCGAGAATGTATAATACCTTCTTCGTTGAACATTTGATTACTTTGTGAAAATTAAACCCTAGCTTTTCTGCTTATATAAGAATTGAAAGGGCTCCAGACAGACATTAACCTAAAATTTACGCGGGCATAAGCCGACGCTTTTGATTGGATAATACTATATAGAGATAAATTATACCTATGTATAATTTATCTCTATGTATTAAATAAATAGTATATATATATTTTTTTTATTTAACATAAATTTAAAATAATCCACCGTGACCGACATTTTTTTGGCAGTTCTTTCACAACCAATTCCAAAAATAGAAAACATTCACAGACAAATGTAACAATTTTTCCTAAACCGTCTGGCTTTCTTTAAAATGCACTTCCTTAAAAAGTACATGTACAAGACAAAACTACACGATCATATTTGTTTATTTACACTTTTTTTATTAATTATTACTTTTTATTATTTTGTATTATTAACTAATAAAATTTTGTATTGTTAACTAATAAATCACTGTTTAATGATTAATCCAATTTAGAAGAAGTGTTACTAGAAATTAAGTATATGAATAAGGAATTCAGTGAAACTTAATACAAATTGTCAAGTCCATTTTTTGAACATCATTCAACAATAATTCATAGTAACTATTTTACAGTAACTAAAGAATTGATGGATTTTATTTTTAACCCGACATATTTTTTATTACTACAAAAGTTATTTTAGTGGATACCTATATTTGAGTAAACGGCCCGTTGTTTTAAAAAGTTTATTTCATCTACCGGCATGCAAGTAATAAAATATATCCCCCAAAATAATAAAGTCCATTAACTCTTTAGAAATTGAGTTAACGTTTCGGATACGAAACTGAGCAGATATGAGCTTTCGGAAAAATCTGAACGAATCTGTATGGTTTACAGGCAAATAGCAAATTTAATTGTGAAGCTTCGTAGCCGAGCAGTTAAAACACACCGGATAAGACGGTGGTTTCCCTTGGCAAAGGTAGACGCAGGTCCAAATCCTGCCGGCGGATACATTGTCTTTAATAAGTTTTCTCGTGTGTGCAGGTCGGTAAGCGAAATAAACACTGTTTAAAATAAAGTACAGACATTCACTAGAAATAACGTCTGAAGTTATAAAAAGGTTTTAAAAATATGATAACAATGTAATGACGTCCGATACAGCAATATAACATATGAAAAAGCGTATTAAAATGATATTGCTTAGAATGCTATATTTCAAATGCTAAGAAAATTCTTGAACATTTATATCAAGAAACCACGTTTAATAATCTTTTTTTTAAATTTGATGTAATCTAAATTACTGCTTATTCATACTTAACTGCATTTTTTTTTTTGCTTTACTGTTTTGTTTTTTTTTTTTTTTGTTTGTTTGTTTTTTGTTTTTTTAGGCGATCATTATATCCATTTATTTTGGCGGGGTAATCCGTTGCCAATTTCGCCTTTACTTGGACATTGTCAAGGCCCCGTTTTTGGCGTCGACCCTAAAAATGTTGTTCTTCACGGTAGAGGATGCATAGAAGGCAGAGCTAAAGTTCCAGCGGAATTTATCATTGATGGTCGCAAAGGAGGTGATGGTAAGTTAATACAAAAAAAAAAAAAAAAAAAGAAATAAATAAACGTAATTTTTCATTTGATGATAACGTGACCATATTATAATGTGAATGCTCGTGCATAAAATATTTTTTACCAAGAGTTTCTAAAAAAAAAAGAAACATTTAAAAAGTAATTTAATTCATTTGTGATTAAGTCCAGGAAGTCTAATTAAAATCCGCCAATTATCTGATTTTTGCAAGAATTTACAAATAAATGTTTCTCAAAACAAAAAGACGCTAAAATTTCACGTACAAATTTATGGTCTCACGTTGACGTCAGAAAAACAAGATTTTTAACCAAAATATTTAAGTTTATAAAAAAGATTAAATAAATAATTTTACATGAAAAAAATCCTTTGGTCTTCCCTGTTAATAATAACACGATTTTGACGAGAAAACTTTGTTTTTCATAACTTTAGGGTATTTTTTCATCACGGATCTTTTAGCGAATTTTTGGAAGTACCTACATTGCTATCAGCATTCATGACTGATTAAAGAACGAAATAGAACGGGATAAGGGAGGTAACTCAATTAGAAAATACAACTATTTTAAACACCCATCATTTTAGCCTGGATTTGTATCTATCTGTGAAAATGCTCGTGTTAAGAATAAATGTAGTTGGTAGAAAAAGAAATTTAATCATAATTATAAAAAATCATTGGTATTTATAATTACGTTTAACACAAACCAGACATTAACAATTAATTCAAAGAGAAACTTTACGATTTTTTCAAAAAGTGACACTTGTAGTATTTCCCATTATGTCACCGGCACCCCATGTACTATGACTCGATTTTGGTGGTTTGGACAATAAAATGTAAAAAAAATTAATGGCTGCAGATATAATGTCCGATACAGCAATGTGACATCAACAGACTTTGCGGGACATGTTATCACAAACTATTTTAATTTCGACCAACATTATAGACATTCTGAAAAAATATCAAACTTCATTTTGGCGAGTTTTCAATTTGGAGTCTTTTCAAATCTTTACACATTAATTTATGTTTTTTTTTTTTTTTTAAAGATTATACATTTCCTATCACTCTTTCCTTTCTCTTTTTTATTGCTTACGTTTTTCTATTCACTCTTAACACAGACACGCACACACGCGTAAACAAATGCAGAATGTCGTTCTCAAAAATAGAAAAAAAGAGTTCTTCAATAATATACATACATACATACATACATATACAGTGAAACCCGGATATAAGAGACCCGGATATAAGAGAAACCCGGATATATGAGAGATTTTCTCTGGTCCCAAATTAGAGCCTGTGTTAATGTATATAAAATAGACCAAACCCGGATATAAGAGAAACCCGGATATAAGAGACTTCGTCTCCGGTCCCAACAACTCTCTTATATCCGGGTTACACTATATATATATATATATATATATATATATATATATATGTGTGTGTGTGTGTGTGTGTGTGTGTGTGTGTATGTGTGTATGGGTCTTTCTGACCATGAAATCCTGGTTCGAATCTCATCACGGTTGATTTGTCAGGAAGGAGACTTCCTGATGTTATCGGTCTGGAGGCGGACGATCCCAGCATCTGGCACCTTTGGAAAGTGCCTCAAAACAATACCACGGTTGACCCAAGCCTTGTGAGTGAAATTGGGTAGACGGAACACTTGAGGGACTGCCGATAGCTGTGCTAGCACGAAGTCACAAGTCATCGTGTCCGAGGGTTTGAGTGTGCTGGCCTTGTTCAGATTGATGATCACGCTAGATAACAGGCTCTCTCCCAGAAACTGTAACTAAGGTCTGCTCAGCATAGTTACAGTATAAACCACAGGTGGGCTCTGTGGGTGTTGAACTAGCCGCAGTAGTAAACGGGTATCCTCGAAAACTAGTGGCCAGCTATTACTATTATATATATATATATATATATATATATATATATATATATATATATATATATATATATATATATATTTGGTTATAGATGAGTTTTGTGACCCTGGGTTTCACGCTTTAGCGATCGTCAGTTTAGACCCTGGGTTTCACGCTTTAGCGATCGTCAGCTGACGATCGCTAAAGCGTGAAACCCAGGGTCACAAACTCACATCTATCCAATCAAATATGTTAGCTCTATCTCTGATATTGAGCGCTTTCTAATAAGTACCATATATAATATATAAATAATTATACATATATATATTTATTTATATTTATATACACTTTTCACATATATATATATATATATATATATATATATATATATATATATATAAAAAAAGTGTGTGTGCGTTTGTGTGTCAGAAGCAGTGATACCGGACCTTGCGCAGGGAAAATCCCTATCCTTTGCTCCGTTACTATGACCGTATACTTTTATATATATATATATATATATATATATATATATATATATATATATATATATATATTGTTGCCATTTTGATTAGAGTTCGTATATTCTTGATTTCAGATGAAAAGTTGGAAATTTTCCAACATATTTCAGTGAAATTTCCACTTTCAAAAATTATAGTTTATAATTTAAATACTGTAGAATTCCTCATATCCGGACTGCCTCATATCCGGAATCCCGCATATCCAGACATGATTTTGATGTGTATATTTGAACTATTTGGATGATATGTAACTGATTTGAAATTTCTGTTTTTCATGAAATTTACTTTGGATAATTGCTTATGCTTATTTTCCCCAATGGCTTGTATTAATGCAAAATATGATGGGAAAAGGGGAAAATAACAACTTCTGAGTTATTGCAAAAAGTGGAAATTTAAACAGACTAGAGACGATAGTGAAAGTTCATTGTAACTAATGTTCAATATAGGAAAGTCAACATTGTATGATATAAAATCTTCCAAAGAAACTATTCTCCAGCGTTCACACTGTCGCAATAAACAAGGAAATAAAAAACATGATTGCAATGAAAACTGGACTGAAATTGAAAAAGCAATTGCAAAATATTGTCAGTTTTATAGAATGAAAACTATGACGATTGCAATAACGTACGCAGAGTTTGTTTTGTTTTGTTTTTTTAAATAGTGTCTTTTGTTTAAAAAATTTCAAGAACAAAAGCAAAACGAAATGCGGAAAAAGTTGAAAATGACATTAGAAGTGAAAGAATTAAAAAAATCCCCGTTACATTATTTGTTTTGCATACGTGGCATACTTAATTTGATGAATTTTCATTAACATTACATAATTTATTTCTTTTTCCTTAAAATCAATTCCATTATATTTCACTCACCATTAGCTTATTTTGTTTACTATAAAACATTGAAAATAAATGTTAAACCTGATTTCAGTTCTTTTATTTTCATCTAATTATAACCCCTCATATCCGGACTTTGTAACCAATTCCTCATATCCGGAAGGCCTTCTTAGTTCGGTTGTCAGAGATTCTACTGTATATGAAAAAATGAAGGCGCCAGTTTAAACTGACGCCAAGAAAACATGGATTAAGAGATTTGCCTGTGCAATAAACTGCTATTATCGTAAACGTAATTTAAATAGATTAAAACATTTTGGCAATCCTTTTACAACATCTTATAATAATTTATAGTCTTTGCTTACTTTCCTTTATACATTGCATGCATTGAATCTCAAGCTGTGATCTAAATGCACTGTTAGTTACAACTTTCAGAGCAGAAAAGGACTTTATTTGAACAAAGCAATTTCATTTAAAAAGCGTTGAACATTGTTTATCCAAAAAGGTCAAGCTAGAAATGAATAACAAAACAAAGTTATTTATTTGATTCTAAATGCTGAATATGCGAACGAGTTATCTCCTTAAAGCAAGAATGTATAAATTGGACAATATATGTGGAGTTGGTAGACATAAATATTAAAGCGTCATTTGTTTATGAGACAGTTTAATGCAATATTTGCATATACACACAGACAGATAACCAAGCGTGTATATATATATATATATATATATATATATATATATATATATATATATATATATATATATATATATATATATATTACCAAGATTTTCTAAACATTTTTAATAATTTCATCCATTTGTGGAAAAGTCTTTAAAATTTCATTAAAACACGACAATTCTTTGATTTTTTTCAAGAATTTCGAAATTAATGTACCTTTCACCGCAAAAAAGTAGCTAAAATTTTTTTTGCGAAGGTACCTATATACATATAATGAAAATTAAAGATAGATAGATAGATAGATAGATAGATAGATAGATAGATAGATAGATAGATAGATAGATAGAATTTTCAATGTCTCGAATTGACAAACTTTGAGCTTTATCTACAATTATTTTTCAGGTTTACCAGAAGTACATCTTCGTGGTATTCATGACGAAACACGCGTACAGGTCACCAAGTTAAAATATAACCGATACAAATGCACCTACACCGCTGAAAACGCTGGTAAGTGGAAGCATTCTTGCCATTTCTGTTAAAAGTTCCTATAAGCAAATCCTGACAACCTATCACGTGTGTCCTTAGGAAGTTGAACATTGGACATTTAGTTCTATACTCAGAAATTCTCTGGTGTATTTTTACCTTTTATGAACGAAAAAAAAAAAGACTTTCAACTAGAAATCTTGCATTTTGGGTGTTCTTCAAGAGATACGACCTCACACAGAGTCCTTTTCGCATATTATTATTATTAGTAGTAATATTCTATAATGGGTGATGTTTTTCTCTCTCACTCTTTTATTTAAATGTGCCCCAAACAAATGTACAATATCCAGATCAGGTACCAATTTAATTATATTGTTTTGTTCTATTATTTAATATAATAAGTCGACAATTATGGAGGGGGGATTTTAATAAATGCAAACGGAAAGCGTGGAGCACCCAGTGAAGATCGAACTCACAACTCAGTGGCAATTGATCAACCTTGCTAACCATTACACCACAAGTGTTCAAATAATCATGGGAGTGGAGGGGAGACACAAGCCATTAAATCACTTAAATAGTTAACACAGAGCATGCCCCCTGTTTTCTCCAGTGATGAACAACGGTTGTGCTCTCAATGAGGGTCCCCAACGGTTGTGCTCTCAATGAGGGTCAAGCCCGCACTAGACTCCATGTGTTAGTAAATAGTCATACCCTCACTAAAGATGCTGCAAAAATAGTCGGCTCTCCGTAACGCTCAGTACCTGACTCCTCCTACCATGCTCGATTTTTACAAGGAGTCAAATCGGCTAAAAGTGGCGGACACATCTGGGCTGGAACTGCACAATGCCTACTTTCCAGCCTCGATCACCCAGTTCAAAAGTGTCTGTGCGACCTGTTTTCCACCCTTCAATCCCTTTCCCACAGACGGAACCTTACGAGCTTCTCTCTACCCTACCGCTATTTTCATGTCAGATGTTCGTGTGAAATACATTCCTTGATACCACCAGCACAGACCTTCACAGCTAGGACCCGCCAGGCCACATGCACAGTGTCGACTCATCCTCATTCCCTTTATATTTCATTTGTTGGGAGTAAGTTCCGCGTAGACAGCTTCAGAACTGTTGCATTATGGAACTGACTCCCGATAGGTTGCTTTCCTGATCAATAAAATCTTAACCTCTTAAAGGAACAACCATTATCTACCCTACTTATCCTCATAATATGTAACTTTTGCTCCCTCCCTATACGCTCTTATTGGGCCTTATATTAGGAGGACAATAGTAAAAAAAAGGGGGGGCTGATTTATTTTATTTCTGATTTTATACGTGTTTTGTCTATATATTTCCTTAATCTATCTCTATGCCCCCCTCTCTCTCTCTCTCTCTCTCTCTCTCTCTCTATATATATATATATATATATATATATATATATATATATATACTAAGAGAAAAAAACAAGAACAACACCTATTCTATACCTGAAGATGTCTGTAGGAACAGACGAAAGCTTGTAGTAAAAATAACAACTAATACGGCAGAAATTTATATAAACAAGGATCAATTCATTCATAACGGATTTGGAGGTTTTTGTATACTATTTGAATTGTTTGCGATGATGGATGTCTCGCCATTTAAATCATTAACCTTTGCATTAGTTTTGTGTGAATAATTCATGTATATATATATATATATATATATTATTACGTACCACCCTCTTTTACTGTTCTGGTAGTAATGGGAGTCACAGTAACATACAATATAGAATCACGAATTCTTTTACGAATGGTCCTTTCCTGATTGACCAAACACGGCCGAGCTAAATCAACGAACAAACACGGTAGGTGACAAACAACAGAAGGAAAAGATATAGGAATAACAAATGACCATTTTATTACTAAAATATACAAATGGGGATTAAATAGGTTGGGATATATTAAAAGATGAAAGACCGGGCAAAAGAAGACAATGAGACAAAAATAAGTATTACAGGACAAAACAATGGGGAGGACTTATCTTTTCAGGAAGGTAAATATTATATTGACAAACGACCTTGTGCCAAAATACCATGAAATTACAAATGACAAAAAGGCAAAACGCGCAAAGATAAAACAGGCAACAGAAACAAAGGACTTATCTGTTATTTGAAAAAATCTTTCTTTTTCTCTTCTTTTTATTCTTATATGTTTCTCTTTTCTTTTATATTTCTTTTTATCTTTTCCCTTTTCTCTTCTCCTTGCTGGGTAGAAAGTTTATCTGTGAAATGGATTTCTTTTTGGTTTTCTTTCTTTCTTTTTCTTTTTCGTCTTGTGCAGAGGTTGAGTGAAGAATAAGTTGAATCTTTCTTTTCTTTGGCCCTCGGGATAATATATGTTTCATTGTATCTGCTTCTTTTAGCACGCCGGAGTTTGATTTCTTTGAATCAACACTTTACTGAGTCTTTTCAGCTCAGAAACCTTAATAGATTTCTATCAATTCCGCACATCCAAATTTATAGCAGATTGTAGTAAGTTTAGCTGGCCGTCCATTCAGTTTGAACTCTGAAGAGGGACTGACTTGGTGGCAGTCTTTATTTTCGCGCCTCGATTTTGGCACGTGACACATGACTTCCAAATATGGATTTTTACATGTGTGGACGAAAAGAAGTCACTGACCATTTTCCTTTTGCTGCCGTATCTCAGAGAGTTCAAGGTTACTTTAGTATCTGGATAGTATCCGGTCAAATCATCACGCTATCACGTGATTAAGAAGGAGAAAATGTACTTTTCACAGAATACATAATCTTTGTTCGAATACATGCAAGTTTGATCATGAACCGTTAATTGTCAATTTCACTTTATTTCTTTTTCATTTTCACACTTTCTGAAAGTACTGGCTCCTCTTTCAGAAAATACTTCTAAAATATAAACTTTAGTGTTGATTTTAGGATAAAATTAGATGAGGTTTCGTAACTATATATATATATATATATATATATATATATATATTACAATAAACGTGCAATCAATTTACAAATACATGAATTATTCATACAAAACTAATGCAAAGGTTAATGATTTAAATGGCAAGACATCCATCTTGCAAACGATTCAAATAGTACACAAAAACCTCTAAATCCGTTATGCATGAGTTGATCCTTGTTTATATAAATTTCTGCCGTATTAGTTGTTATTTTTACTACAAGCTTTCGTCTGTTCCTACAGACATCGTCAGGTATATAATAGATGTTGTTCTTGGTTTTTTCTCTTAGTAATAAGAGGACATCGAAAATATATGTGTATTGTATCCGAAATGCTATTAAAAATGAGTTATTGGTTTTTGAACGCGCCAAAGCAACGCTGAGTTTGATTTTGAATTTTTTAAAATGGTTGCGTCTATACCAAATATGGTAATGAACAAATGTTTTTACTGGTAATTTTTTTTTTTTTTTTTTTTTTTTATGTAGGAACAGACGAAAGCTTGTAGTAAAAATAACAACTAATACGGCAGAAATTTATATAAACAAGGATCAACTCATGCATAACGGATTTAGAGGTTTTTGTGTACTATTTGAATCGTTTGCAAGATGGATGTCTTGCCATTTAAATCATTAACCTTTGCATTAGTTTTGTATGAATAATTCATGTATATATATATATATATATATATATATATATAGTTATTATCATTATTATTATTATTATTATTATTATTATTTTTTAAAAGAACATCAACACATAATCTACAAGAACCCTTAAGAAAGATACTGGTCGAAAATACCTTTGTAAATCAAATTTTCGAAAACACCTCCTTATAAGAGAAGCCCTGTACATCAAACAACTCTCGCCCACCATCAACCTAACCTTGTTTAACAATGGTAACGGAGTGCTGAAAGTATTTTAAAAATAGAAAGTCGCACACTCGAATTCTCGCCATGCCCAACACACAATGGCTCAGAATTAGCTCTCCTACGATAATTCAAGAATAGTACATGAAAATAAACTAACAACACCAAAAAACAACCCCCCTGAAAAGAAGTGGCCGAAACGCTTGGGACAATATGGACAATTTTTTATACTCGCTCATTCCCACCAAGAGGAAAAAATGTAAGAACGCTGGAAAAATTAAAAAAAAAAAATAATAAAATTTTCGTCATATTTAACAAAAGATGGCTGCCCAAATATATATCAATCATATATATATATAAGTGATAGAAATTATTAGGAGGATTTGAGATAATTATAATTAAGTAATTCATCGAGTCTAGAAGAAACCTCAACAGAAGACACTAGATATCCGTTTCGTCCTATATTTGGGACTCATCAGCAGTGCGCATCCACTGTGACGGTTACACACCTGGCCCAGTGTCGGATCCTTTGGTTACGGCGCCAACGGTGACGTCGCTCCTCCTGGTCGCTCCTCCTGGGTCCAAACGTGCCGCTCCAACCCTTTGGTCAGATGATCACCAGCCTCGCCTTTCCCGACTCGCTTCCAATACCTGGTCACTAAAGCAACTATACCGATCTCCGGTCTGTCTACCCACGCTGTGTTTAGATCTTAGACAGACGGGACCAGCAGGATCAAATATACAAGTTGAGTCCGACGGGGTGGCAAAACACAAATAAAATAAAAACTCACGACACCAAACAAAATTGCTGATAAAAGGGTAACAACCTTTATATCTTAAAGTCCGTTACATAAAAAAACAAAAGTGTTCTCATTTCCCGACCCGCTCTGTGGACTATGGCACCAAGCTTCTATCACACAATAGAAAAATGTCGAATTACCTACTTTCTAGAATCATGTATGTATGTCGGAGTGTGGTTCAGTTCGACACTGGGGCTAATTTCATCGATCATTCGCAGTTGATTCTTCTCTCCGACTTGAGTTGTATTTCTTCTTCTTCGTCTGCTTGGGCTGGTAGTTTTCCTGTTTCAACTTGGTGGAAGATTTCTTGTTTCAACTTAGCCGCAACTCTCTGTCGTCTGAGGTGGTCTCTCTCACTGCCGTCCGGAGCTGAACTTTAACTTCTCATCGACTTTCGGCTTGTCTGCAGCTCCAATTTTCTCAGGCTTTCAGGCAATCTTCTTCTTCATCTACTTGGGCTGGAAGTTCTTCTTGTCTGAGGGTTCTTTTCTCGCTGCCGTCCGGGGATGAACTGATTTTTGTCGATTGGGGCCCTGCTTTTATTGACGCCGCAACAACTGGGGTGGGTCTGTCGGCGTCAGGTTTTCTCGATAATTCCAAAACTGCATTAATTCTGTCTTCCATTATCGCTATTGTTTTCGCCCCTACTTCCTCGCAGTACCTTTGGTGGGGCGGCGCATATCCATCTCTCTTAGTCTCTCGTATGTCAGGTGACCGCTTTTCAACCAATCGTTCCTGATCGAGCATTTCTTTCCTTTTTTTCCGCAAGTCACGTGATCGTATTCGACCAATTGTTATTGGTCGAACATTTCTTTTCCTTTTCTTCCGCAGGTCACGTGATCGTATTCGACCAATTGTTATTGATCGAACATCCTCTCCCCTGTTTGCGGGCGTGGTTACATCGTTCTTGTTTAAAAAAAACAAAATCCAATTTTTTTTCTTTTGCACGTACGCAAAATGACAATCTTTGGCTTTCTCTCACCTGGACTTTGTCAAACAGCCCGCTGCTAATTAGTCTTGACTTTAGAAAGGATCTTTTCCGCCTTCTTGGCGCCCTCTGTGAGCCAAAAGCAATTGTCCCTCTTTTTACCTCTTTGTTTTTCCTGATAGTCGAAAATCTTAATTATCTACATTGAAATGTCTCTACTTTATTAACGTGGGTGTCCAATTCTTAACAGGTCAAGATCTGTATATCGTTCCACCGGTAACTCCCTCAACCCAAAAACACTTTTCTCTGATTAAAATTTCATTTCTATTGTTCTAAACCAAATTGATAAGGAGTCTCTCCACGCAAAAAGTCGGTCAGATGCTTTGACGATATCTGGTCTACATCAGCGGCCCGTTTTGATATCATGTCTTTTTTCCCTTTCTTTCTTCTTATTATTTATAATTTATTCTTCCAATTGTCTTTTCGAAAAATCGGCCAAGACGTTGACCTAAATCTCTTTCTGACTCCTATCTCCACCCTCAATTGGGTCATGCATCATACAACTCTTTTCTCTCTTCTTTCTTTTTTTTTTTTTTTCTTTTCTTTCCTTCTTCTTCCCTTAAGATCGTCTAGTACAATCTTAGTGAATTATTTTCAACTCAGTTATTTTCCGTTTTAAAAAAAAAAATCAACAACCTGTTTAGTAACCGAGTAAGAAAAATTAAATCATATTTCTATGAATATTTCTAATAATGCAAGGTGCCACACACTACCGAGAATTGAAACCCGGACAATTACTATACCAGGCAAGCGTCATAACAACTCTACCAACGGACCTCGGTGACGAAGAGGTAGCGAATTAGACTCGATAGAGCGACGCTCGATCACATATTCCGTGGTGGAACTCATCTGAGTTTCCCTTCCCCATAGGACTGTGTCCCAATGAGCCACGACTACTATCCCCAAGCCGCTCCATTCAGAGCATTAGAAGCCGATTCAAGCAAGGATATACAAGGAATTATTAGGAGGATTTGAGATAATTATAATTAAGTAATTTATCAAGTCTAGAAGAAACATCTGTTGAGGTTTCTTCTAAAGTCGGAACACAAAACCTTCAACTCCGACTCCTTTTTATGCAATAAAATGTTAAGGAACTACGAATCTCATAAAGCCTATGCATACGCTTCTAACTTGAGTAGGCCTACAACAATATAACTGGTTTATATCAAAGAATTAAGATATTGTGGCTTTTATATCATACCTATTCATTCTTCAATATTTTCTAACAGAATTAGGGACAAAATCTTCGAAAGAATACAGAAGAATTAATAATAAAATGCTATCATGTAAGACTTTATATATATATATATATATATATAGATAGATAGATAGATAGATAGATAGATAGATAGATAATATTAGTGGTAAATCTGCATACATATGCAAAATATATAAATACCCATACATGTATAGTTTTTGAATAAAAATTCCAAGAGGATAGAATCCAGGTAGAACTCAATGTCCAGGACAGAGTTGTTTTTTCTGTTTTCTTTTTGAATTTGTAGCTCTGATGAATTGGATTTATTTACGATTCCAATGGAATAAATTATGACCATGGAATATTAGTGTTTAAGCTTTTTATATATATATATATATATATATATATATATATATATATATATATATATATATATACACATATATATTTGCTAAGATATATATATATATATATATATATATATATATATATATATATATATTTGCAAATATATATATATATATATATATATATATATATATATATATATATATATATATATATATTTGCAAAGATATATATATATATATATATATATATATATATATATATATATATATATATATATATATATATTATGCAAAGATATATATATATATATATATATATATATATATATATATATATATATATATATATATATATATATATATTCAGTCGGGTTTCGATCCTAGCTAGAGGCAACTGGATGTCTAGCCACTGATGAGCTGTAAACAGCGAAACAGTCTGTCTGTGGATGACGTTATATATATATATATATATATATATATATGTAAATAAGAAATACAAAACAAAAATAAAATTACTTTATAACAGGATGTAAAAAATATAACAAAAATAAAAATTCTATAATGTAATAATTTTTTACATATATAATTTTGCAAATACAAAATAAGTATAAAAAATAAAATGCCTTTAAAAAAAGAAGTTGAGATGAATTTCTTTAAAGGAAATAGTAAATATGCACTAGAAGAAATAATAAATTAAAATTCTATAATGTAATGCTTTTTACAATTATGTGTAAATACAACTGGTGTCGAGTCAGTATAGTTTAACTGACTCCAATGAACCCTTAATCCGACCCCGACTCCGACCCCCACTCCGACTTCACATTTCTTACTCCGACTCTAAAGCCCTGCAGCTGGGCGTATAGTATATACAAAATACTGGGTCGGGAGATAAGTCATTGAAATGTTTATTATTTATTAATGCTCTGTTTGTTTATAGACATCACTTTATTTAGAAAATCTGCTTACCTTAAACGCATTGACACCCTTTCCATATATTTACTGGTTGACAGATTTTGTTATGTGTTAAATTGTTTTTTTATTAATTATTATATCTATATACAATCATGTCTGTCGTTGTGAGAATTCATTGTCTGATTTTGTTTGCATATCCTATTGTATGTCATTCTTACTAATTCATTAATCGCAGGAAGTTACCTGCTTTACGTGAACTGGTCAGGCGAACCGATTCCTATGACACCAAAGAAAATCACAATTGGACTTAAAGGCAACGTTTCCTTGGTCAAAGTAACCGGGAAGGCTCTTATTAGGGGAATAGCAGAACAGAACATGGCCATTAATGTCAACACGCAACAGGCAGGACCAGGTAAATTATTCAGTTTCATAATTTTATCATTCATTTATCAAATGTCACTTCTTATAAAGACAATCTTAACATTGTCAAACACTTATTCGGATTTGAGATATTTGTCTAAAATTTGAATTATTATTGTAATGCAAAAATATAAAAAAATTAACTCGCACTAAATCCAAAAATCTTGTGCCAAACACAAAAATCTACTTAAAGATGGAAAGGGAAAAAAGAACTCGTATTTCTCTTTACCCTAAAGTTGTAATAAGCGGAAATAATAAGACTCAACCACTGAGTAAAAGTTTAAAGGAAAAACATTTATTACGGTATAGACAAAAATGGTACAAATACAAAATTTGCAAAAAAATTTTCTTTTGTTTGCCTTTTAAGGCAGGATAACGATTCCTGAAATGACAAAAGAGATTACTGTTACTAAAATGACAAAAGAATTACAATTTCGAAAAAAATGCAAATTGGATTACAGTTTCAAAAATGACAAAAGAATTACAATTTCGAAAAATTAAATAAAAAATAATAAATTTTTCGTCATATTTAATAATTTTGAAAAACGACAAAAGGGATAGTTTCTAAATTGACAAAATAATTACAATTTCAAAAATGACAAAAGAATTACAATTTCGAAAAAACGACAAAAGTATTACAATTTCTAAAAATGATAAAAGTATTTCAATTTCGGAAATACGACAATAGGGATTACAGTTTCTAAATTGACAAAAGAATTACAATTTCAAAAAATGACAAATAAATTACAATTTCGAAAAAACGACAAAAGGTATTACAGTTTCTAAATTGACAAAAGAATTACAATTTCTAAAAATGACAAAAGTATTACAATTTCTAAAAATGACAAAAGTATTACAATTTTGAAAATACGACAATAGGGATTACAGTTTCTAAATTGACAAAAGAATTATAATTTCGAAAAAACTACAAATTGGATTACAGTTTCAAAAATGACAAAAGAATTACAATTTCGAAAAGTTAAATAAAAAAATAATAAAATTTTCGTCATATTTAATAATTTTGAAAAACGACAAAAGGATTACAGTTTCTAAATTGACAAAATAATTACAATTTCGAAAAATGACAAAAGAATTAAAATTTCGAAAAAACGACAAAAGGTATTACAGTTTCTAAATTGACAAAATAATTACAATTTCGAAAAATGACAAAAGTATTAAAATTTCTAAAAATGATAAAAGTATTTCAATTTCGAAAAATGACAAAAGTATTACAATTTCTAAAAATGATAAAAGTATTTCAATTTCGAAAATACGACAATAGGGATTACAGTTTCTAAATTGACAAAAGAATTACAATTTCGAAAAAAAAATCAGAGAAAGCAACATTCAGGAAAGCAGAAAAACAAAGTGCAACCAACTTTTGAAAAAATAAAAAAATAAACTATTTGGACATTTCGTAATATTTTGAAATGTCCTCTTTTTCTCTTTTTTTTTTTTCTTTTTGTATTCAGAAATATCTTTGTGTTCTTTTCATTGTCTGTTCTTCCAACCGCAGGAAAATTTTCACTTGTGAATGTCAAAATTCCCTCGGCTCTCTACAGCTGGCTTTTAACTATCTGCCTTCTCTTCAGAATGCTTTCGCCGTGATGTCCAAATGTTTTCTGGAGTAACCGGAATTATTTTATTCAAAAAGAGAGGATCATAGAAGGCTCCATCCAGGTTTTTCAAAAGAGCTTGACACCACATCTCTCATTGGCTAGTAAATAGGAAAACATATTTTTCCATAAATTCAAAATGAATCCTTAACAACGAACAATGTTGGCGGTTCAAAAAGCTTGACACAATGTAAGATTTTTTTTTCACAGACTGTCTGGCTTGTGACCAAATGGTACAAGTAACAACATTCAAAGATGAATAGCTTTCAAAGTACCAAAATTCAAAATTGGGTAGCTTCGGGCTTTCAAAAAAAAGCAATAAAAATCTCGAGTACCAAAATTCAAAATTGCATAGCACTGAGGTTTCAAAAATAGCCCAATCTGATAACCCTTTCTTACAGTCATTTTTACATCATTTTATAAGTCCTCATTCGTTGCTCTACATCAAATATGCTGATATTCAACTAAGAAGTGCTGAATGATTCTCGACCCGACCAAGAAGAGATTAAAAAATGCTGATGTCTGGCCGTTTGGTTAGATTTTAAAAAGTGGTTCAGACCGAGAACTTCTCAGTTGGTCCTCCAAAATCTTTGAAGTGTGTTTGTGTGTGTACTTTTTTCTATGTATCATTACATCTGTAGTCATGTGTGCGTTTTTGTCTGTTTAAGGTTACATAGAAGCATCTTGTCAAAACTGTAATGGACAAGTGCCCTGTGACGTCATCGAAAACGCACCTGGATTGTACACCATTAACCTATTTCCTGCAGTACCAGGCCAGTATCACCTCGAGATTTTTTACGACGGCGACAAAGTACCAGGTAGGTTCCTAAATATATATATATATATATATATATATATATATATATATATATATATGATAACAAATAAGAAACATTTATCGATCTAACATGTTTCATTTTTATTAAAGCTTTTGTCAGAAACTGAGATATGGAGAAAAAAGAAAACATTCTGGCATTGTTTCTTTCTTTTTCTTCATATATCAGTCTCTGAGAAATCGATAAAGGGAAACAGGTTAGATTGATAAACGTTGCCTTGTTGTTTTTATCATTCTGTCGGATTCATATTTGATCTTTACTTCATATATATATATATATATATATATATATATATATATATATATTTATATATATTGATGTGAGTTTGTGAGTTTGACCCTGGGTTTCACGCTTTTGCGATCGTCAGACAAACTGATTAATATATACATATGTCAAATCTCATACTGTCCACATATGTTTATATCTGTATGAGCCCCGGCTGACGATCGAGTGTGCATGTGTGTCTACGTACCTCAGTGGGTGTACGGACATGCATCTATGTTTGCGTTAGCATGAGTGGCATCACGACGACGATCCCCCCCCCTCCCATAATAACACCAATACACGCAATCTACGTAAATCCAAAATTTTTTAAAAATTAATCAGTTTGTCTGACGATCGCAAAAGCGTGAAACCCAGGGTCACAAACTCACATCAATCCAAACAAATATGTTAGCTCTATCTCTGATATTGAGCACTTTCTAATAAATACCGTGCATATAATATATATATATATATATATATATATATATATATATATATATATATATACACACACTTTTCACACACACACACATATATATATAGAGATAGATAGATAGATAGATAGATATTGTACATAATCTGTCTGAAGTATCCATTAATATTTGGATATGCTAATAGCTGTATTTTGGTTGTTCCTGGTGTGATGGTCGATATGTGCAAGAATTGCACGGTGTTATCTCCATCATTTAATTTTAGGAAACTTCGAGAAATTCTTTTTTGTGACGCTTAATGTTCAAATTGAATTCCAGGCGTACTCAACACGCAAAATTTGGAACACATGCCCCTACTAGTATTTAAAACAAAAACATATCTTGAACCATCAAAGCATGAAGAGAAATTAACAACACCTAAAAACAAACCCCATTGAAAATGTCTATATCAGTATAATAGATGAAGATAGAATGTCTCTAATAGACAAGAGGGAGGTGAGGCTTGTGGAAAGAAAAGTGTGATCTCGAAGATGGGAGAGCAGGCTGTGTACTGGACCCGCACGGAAACATATGTCAGGTCGATTGACCGAGAGGCCGATCTGAATTGCCTTGAGGGTCACTGAGCGGGTCCTTTTAAGCAGTCACGGGCGATACATGATTCATGTTTTTGCTTTAGCGGCATCGTTCGTGATTGGCTTCGACGTTTAAATTTCTTTATTATTTTTTATTTGTTGTGTGAGCCGGATGCGATGCCTGAAGCCACTGCTCTGAGGGCGACTTCTCAAAATGCTTAATCGTGCTTTTCTGGCGTTCTGGTCAACAGGTTTTGATGTAGAGTCTTATTTGAAATAGGATATAATACTTTGGATAATTTAACTTTTAGTGAATAGTGCAGTGTATAATCATATTTTTTTTGTGAAGATAAGGCTTTTTTTTTCAACATCATCTCATATATATGCTAAATAGTGTAACGTGTAATCATGCCCCCTTTTTTTTCTTTTTTAGGCAGTCCTTTCCTTTTGCGAGTTGGAGAACCACCCGATGCAACGCAGGTCAAAGTGTGGGGCCCAGGCATTAAAGACGGCATTCTTAATTCTTTCGAAAGTAATTTCTTGGTTGAAACACAAGGAGCTGGGGTCGGTCAGTTATCTATCAAAATGAAAGGACCTAAAGGTGATTAAACCTACTTTTTTTAACCCATCTTTCCATTGCAGAAACTGATCTGATTCATTCTTCGTGTTGTTCTTTTGGGTATCAATAATTCAGTTGACCTTTAGGTGTACAGTCCGCAAGGAGAAAAGGCGTCTTAGGTTGGGCTTTGGTCTCTCTACCCACCAACCCCCAAAAAGAATCAAAACAAAGAATGATTTTGTAGCTTAGAGGTGCTACACTATTGCGTTGGTGACCAATTTGTTACGACTTGTTGCTGATTGATCCTAATCAGTAACAAGTCGTTTGACTTTCAGAATAAATTAATCAAAAGAAATTAATCCAACATGGTTGATTTTATATATATATATATATATATATATATATATATATACGCACAAAAATTCAAACAATAATAAATAAAAATTTAATTATAAACCTAACCTCCTACTAAAGATACCACCAAACCAAATAAGAAAACGAAATAATAGCATAGTGAAGATATATATATATATATATAACATTTCGACATTAATATCAATTATTTATGAAAAAAAAACGAAATACAACTTTCCTAGCCCAAAATGACAATAAAGATGAGGACAACAGCCCGAACAATGGGAATAGCTACGATATCTCAGAAATATAGACAAACTTTGGTTCAAGCATAAAATTCCTGAGTATTAAGTTGAGGCTTTTGAAAGGAAATTAAAAATATTTGGGGACATTGAAATTCAAACATATCCCTGTAGCCAAGCCAAAAAATCATACTTATTGTGAGAAAGGGGAAAAAAAATCAAGATACAACCATTCCAACAAAATATGGAATGAAGATAAATAAGTTTAGTGTCTAAATACCAGGACCTTCAAAGATGAAATGTATTTCAGCAATAATAAAATTCAAGGTAAGTGAAAACTTGAAAACGTAGCAGGAATACTAACGATATAGAGATCTGTCTCTTAATCCCTATTGTTACCCAGTAGTTGTAATGATAAATAATTTGCCGTAAATCTAAATAAAATCTACAGGGACATAAGTTTTATTTTTAAAAAAAAAAAAAAAAAACAGACAATAATCTTGTTTACATTCATACTATGAGGCCAAGATTCCGAACAATTGTAGTGTAAATGAAGCAAACTACCAAAGTTACTTTTTATTTTTGTTTTGATATTGTGTTATGTTTAAAGTTTAACCCAATAAATAGCTGATCAACACTTTTCTTTTTCTATAGGTGGTTTTCAAGTAAATACGAAGCGAGACGCAACCAGCAACCGTACTATAGTGTGCTGGTATGAACCGACAGAAGCTGGTCGATATGTGGTCAATATCTTGTGGTCAGGTGTTCAAATACCAAACAGTCCTTTTACAGTTAATATTTACGAAACATTGGAAGAATTACAAAAAGCCACAGGGAAGCTGATTAGGAGTTATCAGGATACATCATCACAGAACAATTCACAATGGACTGAAGACATTTAAATTAATGAACTAATAAAAAAGCGCAACACGAAATGGCCTACGGCGTATTGTCAGTGGCTTCGTTGTAGTGACAAGGGAGACTACTACTTAATAATTCTAGCTTAAAACAAAATGTGTAAATTTGAATTGTCTACATAGGAAGGCTGCAGTTTTTAACTTGGATTCGTAGTAGTTAAAAAAAAAAAAAAAAACACTTTCATTGAAGATGAAATTGATACGTTTATTTTCACTTAATAAAAATGTTTCAAATCATACAGATTGAACCTGTTGACTTCAGAAGATATTCATTCTTGAAAAGTTAAATTTAACACCGTTTCCTTTTGGCATTTTTTAATTAACTAGATTTTTTTTTTTTTATTGACTTTTCACAACTTATCAACCTCTATAATTAACTCAGCAAATATTTACTGTTATTTTAGAATAATGATAAGTCAGTTTTATAGCTGAAAATATTAAGAAAAAAAAATCCCAATTGACCTATCTAAATTTTGTTTAAATTTGCTACTGGGAGTAGCAGCAATTTCAAACATTAAGTTTGAGAAAAATCTAAAACTCATTTAGTCAAGTCACACTGATCTTGGGTTTTTTAAATTTCTATGTAAATTTGAACTTGCACAGAAAAATTAAGCATTGCTTGTGAAAGACTAGCCACCACATTTAGTATTCTGAATTTAAATGCCTCAACTCTTGTAGAAGTTTTCCTTGAATAAGTCTTACATGTTTGATTTCTAGGATCAAAAAAAAAAAAAAAAAAAAAAATTATATATATATATATATATATATATTTTCAGCTTCAGGAAACTTAAATCACGATTCTTTATTTAATAAATCCATGTTTAGAAAGTACTACTTGTTTAAATTCTATGCTCTCATATGAAAGGCATTTTCATCTTTTTTTGTTGATTCTGAATAATTTTCCAGTCTTGCAAAATGTCATCCACATTTCAAAAAAAAAAAAAAAAAAAAAAAAAAAAAATTTAAACCAACAACTAAAATGTTATAAAAAAAAATAAATTCCGAACTGAACAATTTTGATGAGCATAAAACTATAATTCTGTCAACCACCATAAAAATCAGCTTTTACCATTTTAGAAGTTGGTCTGATTTATCTATACTCACAAATATCTCCATTCAGTGCTTTCATTTCATGCAATCTTAAGAACCTGCAGTACTGCTTCCTGTCTTCCTTATCCATAAATACTATCTCCAATAAGGTTTTGTATTCTAGTCTCCAAGTGCAATCCTCTGACAATGACAAAGGAAGAATCCCTTTTCCATGAAGATACAAACTAGGAGAAAATAAGTTTTAATATATATATATATATATATATATATATATATATGGACATTCATGAGTATCATTCTCAGGTCATTAGGGTTACATTCTGCCATAACATGGCTGGTCAACCAACTCATCTTGGTCTATAGCCAGATGTCCAGAACAGATCACTTGCATTTTTTTTTTTGCTTGCCAGCAGTATCCTGCAAAGCACATTCTGTATGCATATAAGATTGTAGAAATATCAAAGATTGGTCCATATTAAGTATGATAGCTCTTAGCATAGGTTCCTTCAATTAGGGTTTTAATTAGGTTGTTCAAAACTTAAAAAAAAAAAAAATATGACAAAAGTAACCTACTTGTTCTGTACACCTATTACAAAATTTTATGGTACTTTTTTTAAAGTTTATATTGTCTGTTATGATTAAGATGATTTTAATCTTAAATGTTAATGACGCTGATCAAAATTTTATACATTTATTTTTAACAATAGTAAAAATGAAATGTTATGCAATTGATTTCAGACTTTTGTGAAAATGTGACTTCTGTCAGAAAACTCGAATGTGCTGACAACAAAAGCCAAGAGGAGGCAAATCAGTTATCGCTATCAGGGGAAACAACTCTAGTACATGTAACATTTCAAAATAGTGCATTCGTATTTTTGCCAGGCAATCTCATGCATTTTTGGAATATTAAAGTATTGTAAAAAATATACTTGCAGAGCAGATTTTAATAAGCTTTCAAATTTATGATCTATAAAAAGTAGATCAAATAAGAGCATTTCCATTGACTCACGGAAACAAACTCAAAATATTTAACAACTTTTTATCACATTATGTATTTAAAATTAAAAAAAAAAATTTTGGATTCAGATAAAAAAATTCATTATTCAAGGCATTAAAAGCTTTTTTAATGAAATGTCTATGAAGTTTAGGGCCTTTTTTTCATCATGCTGTTTTTTTTTTTTTACAGAATGTTGGACAAACCTAGTTTTAATTAATGTTCAGGCAGTGGCACCATACATTAACACTGTTCCTACAGTGGCTAGAAATAATATCCTGATGAGATTGTCTGGTAGATCACATTTCCAGTAATCAGGACAATTTTTTTTTTTTTTAAAATGTGGATACACTTGCAAATTCTTGCTAAGCAAAAAGTTTCATACTAACCAGATATTTGTGTAGCTGGGGAATTCAAGTTGTCACAATCTTTAGAGTAATATGTTAAAATTAAGCAAATTTTATCTTTTTTTTTTTAAAGATAATGCAGTGAATCAGTAAAATTGCCATTAAAATGCTACTTATGTTATTCTATAAACAGCTTCTAATTCAATCAGCAAAGCTTATATTAGCATTTACAATTACAAGATTGACGCATCAAATGTTGCTTTGCTGATTGAATTGAAACTTAGGCATCAAAGGCCATTTATAAAAAAAAAAAAAAAATTGAAGGTTAAACATATTCTCCAAAAGATATTGAATGCCATTTTAACTTATTTGTAAAATATTAACTGCTTTTAATGTTAATATATTAATAAGGTGAATACTACCTACCAATTATAAATGAGTTAGCTATTTGACATTTAACTTTTCAATTCATCCTGAGTGATATTTATCAAAGGAATTTCTAGAAAAGATTAGCTTCTTGTTAAGTTTAACAGTCCCCACCACCACATAAAACGAGTTAACTTCACTTTCAGAAATCTATTCAGACTATCATACGTATTTCTTAAAATAAAAGTATTTTTTTTGCAGATATTCAAAGTTTAAACGATTACTTATTTTAGTGCACCATTCAACTTACAACTAATGCCATCTGACAAGTCAGTACATTTAAAAAACAATAGCTGTAAATCAACAGTGACTTTTCATAGGCATCAGCCACCTATATTGCTAACTGCCTAACCAATTTATTGTTTCAGATAAATTATGAAATAAATAAGTAATTGTTCCAAGTAACACAGCTATTCAAAATAAGCCCTGCATAATTTTTCCCAAATAATTGCTAAACAATTCTTAAAAACTCCCATGGTTTTATTCAAATAGAAAAATTAATGTATTAAGTCTTTTTGAAATCAACACTAACCTTTTTTACAACAGAATTACAGAATAGGACACAATCTCCAGTGAGTGTTGTAAAAAAAAAAAAAAAAAAAAAAAAAAAAAAGAAAGAAAAAGAAACTTTGTTAACCCCTTATTGTGCAATAAATGAAAAGACTTGAAACAACAAAGATGTAGAAAATGGCTGTTAATTTATTTGCATTCCATATTATTTCTTAGAACGGAAATATTCATTAAGAATGTCCAGGGCTTGGGATTCTTTTCCATAATCCTGAAATAGAAAAAATATATATAAATTAAAAAAATTACCAAATAATTATATCATTATGTTTTCATTCAAATGAACCTACTGACCTCTTATTTTGTGAAATGATAGAGTAGATATTTTACAACTTAGTCCCCACCACCCCAAATGAATTGAGGAGGTAACATCATAATCTTTGTGATCTTTTCTATTCAGACTGAATGCATTCCTCATGGTTTCTAGGTAGAGGGAGCATCTTATTGTCATCATTTTAGAAATTCAATATTTGTCTTAACAGGTAAACAATTTAGGTCCAATCTCAAGAAATCTTACCTTGACCACTACACATCCACAGCCATTGACTTTTCTGGCTTTGCCTTCCATGTCTATTCTACGAAGACCAGCCCATTCGCCAAGTTTTTTGCTGTCATCAACCTGCAATAAACAATTTATAAAGATTAAAGCCTTTAAGATAAATCAATAAAAAAAAATTTTTTTTTTTTTAAATTTAAAAATGAAAATTAGTTTTATCACTAGTTACTAAGTGTTACTTTGCCAAAAAGTCAAACCACCAAGCCTCCCACCTGGGAAAATTACTGTCAAAACAGAATCTTGACAGCATTTCAAACAGAAAAATGTTCCCTGAGGAGAAGTTTCAAAAAGCTTAAATACTGCCTAATTGTTTAAAGCCAATTTGGCAGGAAGGGAAATAAATCTTCTGGCACTGCTTAAAACATATCCATCAAGCTGAAGAGCAGGAGCCTAATTCATTAGCCAAAGAATTTTTTTTTCTCCAAAATTTATGGTTTTTAATTACATTGACAGAAGAAAGTCAAAAGGATTCCTTTACTTTTGAACTAAAAAAGTTCAAACTTCAATGAGAGGTCAGGAAAAATAAGTAAAAAATTCAATAGTGACAAAAATCTAATTTCACAATAACAGGTGTCATGCCCAACATTAAAAAAATCTTTGACTTTCACAACCTACAAATAAAACAAAGATATAATCATGAAGCTAAGAAACAAAATTACAAGTCCATTTATTACAGATTATTTACTATTATTGGTAAAACGGGCCATTCCTGATCAGATAAAATGCAATCCTCAGGTCACTATCAGTAGAGGGAGCATTAACTATCATCATTACAGGGTTCAATTTTTTCCAGATTACAGAGATACAAACACTGCTCATAGCAAGATGTGGTGGTCAAAACAATGCAAACCAGGGCTTCATTAACTCCTGGTAGGTCACTGGGTAAAGAAGTTTCATTGTTGAACGGACTGAAACACCTAATGATCCACCACTGATATAATGCATTTCAATGACAAAAAGAGAGTGATTATTATATATTTTTTTTGTAAATTAGGAATTTAATTAATCACAAAGTATGGAAGTTTTTTTTTTAACCAATAAGTAAATGATCCATGTCCAATTGATTATGGAAGTAGAAAAAAACAAAAAAAAAAACAATCAGAGACCATGATTATCTTAGTTAATTGTTGGTTATAAAAAGGTCTAGTTCTTCAGTGTAAGATTTAAAATAAGTTTTGTTTACCATGTTTATAGATAATTGTTAAATTCAAGTTATCAAGTTAGTGATTACACTGTTATAATAAAAAAAATCTAACCTTTCATTTAGAAGTAAATGTTAAAATGTATTTTCTAAATTAGTTTTCTTATATTGTTTGTACAAATAAACCAAATAAAATGACTGTACATTTAAAAAAATTTAATTATCTGCAAATTAACTTCATAAAGGTAAATTGTATATCAGACAGAATGCAATCCTCATTTACCACTCAGTAGAGGGAGCATTAAATGTCATCATTACAGAATGAAATGCAATTATCAACCTTAATTTACTTTGATTCAACAATTCAAAAAGGAATGACACCAAATCTTTAGTGTGTGTGTGTGTGTGTGTATATATATATATATATATTTTGTTGGCATAAAACAATGACAATTTACATTTAGCCAGAAAACTTGTTTTATTAGTTTTCAAGGAGTTATTTTGTAAAAATGACAAAATTTCGAATCCCCAACAATATTTTAAGCCACCTCAGAAACTAAGATTATTATAATAATAAATAAAGTAAAAGAGCAGGGGAGAAGACAGTCACTCAGAAGATATGTTTCTACCACATGAATCTTTAATTATCAAAACTTAATATATTGTCTTTTAGAGAGAAATTGCCCAAGATATTAAAATTCTTGGATTGTCAAGTATAGACCAGTTTATATTTTAATTTGCTTATCAGACAGAATGCAATCCTCAAATATCATCATCAGTAGAGGGAGCATTTATCGTCATCATTACAAAGAGATGAAAGCATACACTATGACAAGATGTAACTAAGAAATGGACGTCATACACAGGATTGAGATACATCCTTGGTGAAGTCTTCAGGAAGGAACTTATTTTTATTTAAAAAAGAATGTGCCCTTGGTGTTTTTATTTCATTTGCTATTGAATTTTACATTTTTGATTGTCTTACCTTAAGCAGGTTAATTCCATGTTCTGTGCAAAGAGCTTCAACCAATCTGGTGTATGCAGGTTCATCAATATTGTTGGCCAAAATGCACAAATGAGCCTGACGCCTGAAGAGAAAAATTAAAAGAAAAACTAAATATTTCAGATAAGATATTGTTAACATTTTGAAACAGTGTTGTGTGCACTTTAAAAAAAAAAAAAAAAAAAAAAAGCCTGGGTATTTTTATGATTAGCCAAAAGTATATATATATATATATATATATATATATATAATAAAGGTGGTCCTAAATAATTTTACTAAATTTATACCTTTTTATTGTGTGTACTTGCTTTATAAAACTGAAGTTAAGATTACATGTTAAAAGTGACTTGGTTGAAAGTTGTTTACTTACTTGTCTAATGCTTTGCAGCATTGGTTAAGACCTCTCTCAAGTCCATCATGGATCAGAGAAGTTTTCAGGACTTCCTGAAGAGCAGTGTAAAGATCTAATGATCCAGCAGGGGCAGAATCCTCCCTAAAATAATATTAAAAGAAAAATTACGTTACATACAAGAATGTTTGGCGCTGCATTGTTTGAAAACAATGAAAACTTTAATTCACTGATTCAAGTAAAGAATCAGGAAAGATATGACCCCCATCTTAAACATTAAAGCATACAATAATTTAAAATATTTTGCTGTCATAAAATGAAAAATTGTTCCTTTTTAGCAAATTGACAATTCTTACAATATTATCACTTACACTTACTTTTTAATCATAAATTGAAATACTAATTCAGCATTGAAATTATCATGATTTAAAGTATAAAAAGAGTAAACAAATTGAATATTTCCACCATCACCATAAAAAGTAATTTTTTTTATTGCTTTTCTGGGTGATGAATAAAGATTCAACAACTTCACCCCCCCCCCATTTCTCTTAGCTCCAAGCAGAGTGACATAACATTATGTAAAATGTTCACCTACAATGTCATTTCACTGCTTACCTTTAGACAGGTCTTCAAAACAATTGCTTAATCACAATATTGTTTTCAAATGTTTTGCAATTTTAATTCCTGTGTACAAATTTTATAAAATTTGGAACATAAAAATTGACAATGAAAATAAAAATCTGTCAAATAAAACAAATTATCCAGTGTCACTTATCAGAACTAACAACATAAAAATGAATATTTAGTTACTGGGTTTGTCATTTGACTTTCAGGTTTTTTGTGGTGAGATATAATAGCAGCAGCAAAAAAAATCAAATGTTAAATTCATTAACTAAATGTTCATTTTTATAAGTTAGAAAATATAATCTACCATTTGTGTTTATATAACACTATGTTCTGTTGTTTCGCGGGAAAACAGTAATGAAAAAGGCCACAAACTTAATGAAAATAAAGATTTATCGTCAAAATGCTTGTTATTAAGATGAAAGATTTAATTATTTTTTTGAAATTTTGGTTAGTCTTTTATTTATGTCATTTCAGTGGCATGAAAAAAAATTTTTAGCGCTTTTTTTCGTTGAAATCATTGGTTTTGAAATTCTTGAAATAAAAAAAAAAAAAAAATCAAGTAATCATCCGATTTTAATGTAATTTTCAGGACTTATTTACAAATGAATGAAATTATTTTTGAAGTTCTTTTAAGAAACGATGATGATGCCAGCAGCAATAGATTTTTGCAGGCAATTTCATCATGTTGAACAGCAAAAATAAGCTGCTAACAATTTAAGACAATAATCACCATAATTTTTCAATTGTAGATTTCAAGTAACTTTAGAAGAGATTCGTATTCCAATATTTTATTTTCTCTAATATTTGGAACGTGTAAAAATTCAGTTTGATCCCACTGAAAGTAGACACCTTGTTAAGCTATTTCCATTGAACTTTATCTACACGCTTACTTATCAGGTTGCCTAACAAAGTGGAGACAAACAAAGTTTTTTTTTTAAATTTAAAGAAACTATAAAAAAATTCGTCACTTAGTCTGAAGTAATTTCACATTCCAAATACTGAATTAACTCCCTTACGATCTCATCACGCACGTTTCCTCATAATAAATATGGAAGAATCAACTACAAGATATTTGATTTCTACAATATGAATATTCTTGTACATGAAATAATGAAAAACAACACCCGAAAAGCAATATAATTTGTTTTCTATTTAATCCAAGTGAAAAAAAAAACTTTAATTTAAAAATTAGATATTGTCCAGGAAATAATCGGCCGTTTGCTGACTACTTTGAGAACATTCTGAATTATCGTTGTCTCAGAGCAGAAAACATAACAGCATGCACTCCGCTGCCACTTGTTTGACAACTTTTATCCTTAGACCCAACATAAAAAGAATGCTATTAATTTTCAACGTATTTTTAAAGTTATTAAATTTTTTTTTTACTCATTCGATGCTGAGTTTGTTTGTTCTTGTCAGGATTGCTGTTCAATTTCATTGGGCATTGTAGTGAAAAAGAATAATAAGTGAATATTTCTAAGTTCACAGAAGCCGGAAATACGTTGGGCTTTGCTTATTCCTTCACCTAGATTAATAACTTTTTTTTTTTTTTTAAATCCAGTTAAAAAAAAAAAAAAAAAAAAAGCGTGGCCCTTCTTCGCATAAAATCGACAGAAAAGGAAGTTCTGGTTAAAGAGGGAAAGGTTAATTTATAACACTATTATTGACGACATATAATGAAATGAAAATCTATTTTATGTGCCGTGTCTCTAGTCTTCAGTGTGTAAGCTTTCAACAAAAATTCATATACTTCGTCGCAATATATTCATTACCTTATTTCTCCCAGATCCATTTCTACTCACAGAAGCTCTGTTAGGTAGGTTATATTTGCTTTTTTTTCTCTGTCCCTCTTGCATTCAATGTCCTGTGAGTGTCAAACTCACCATGTCGTCTTTCCTCATGTGCGACGTTAATCTCAACTGTCGCTTTCTACTTATTTTTTTCCCCCTTATTGGTTTCATGTTTCATTCACAATTTTCTCAGTACCGTTCTACAGAAATTGATCTGCTGCCAAAGTCTCCTCTTTCTGTGAGGAAATAGCTCAACATTCACTATACGTGGATTGATCAGCACTTTGTTTAATAAATTTTCCGGTTTCTTAGAAACAGTATTTTATTTCGGAGTTCATTCAAAAATGAAAATTTACTCACAAAAGAAATAATAACACACAAACTGTAATTTCCAATGGTTTAAATTCTAGAACAGTGAAAATTTTAGTGTAAAGAAAAAGGGAAAAAAAATGATTCTGTAACTTTGCAACTGTCTAGAACAATGTAATAAAAAAAAAAAATATACCATCAAATGATTTAAAAAACTTTCAATCTAAGAGCTGATTTGAACCAAACAAAATACCAATTAGAAAGCAACTTATTCAATAAATACCAGGAAGAAAGCCAAATTTAAGAGATAATCAGACATAATTTTGTCCCGTGGAGAACCGAAAGAGAATGACTTTTCCTTTTTAAATCGGAAATGTACGTATGTTATATATATATATATATATATATATATATATGCACACACATTAACAGGAAAAAAGAACATACAAAAATTTAATTCATACAGAAGGATTTAAAATAAATGATCGCAAGCAACGTGTATGTCAGACATTTTATTTTATATTGTCGGCAATCGTTCAAAATAACCACGTGGATCTCAATTTATGTGGAGTTCAAATAAAACCCTACAATAATAGTTATAGTTAATGGAGAAAAAAAACAAAAGAAATATTGATGAACAGACCAGAATATTTTAATTAGATTAAATAATCTAAAATTAATTTAAAATAAAAAAGAAACAACATTGAAAAGGGCATATCACAAAAAACTTAATTTACTAAATTTAACAACGTTGTAAAATTCATATATTGAATTAAAAAGGTTTGTGGGTGATGTTTAACGTCTAAAACGGTACAAAATGAAAAATAAGTAATATTATAAATTAATAAAGACTAAAGAGTTAAAATAAACATGGGAGCCAACAGAACGGAAAAAATAAGACGGTAGATTCACTTACCTTTCGCCGTCAGACATAATTCCTATTAAGAACAAACAAAATAATTACATCGTTATGGTTGGAATAAAACGTTAATTAATTGGCTTTCTAATTTTGAAATCGATGATATTAAAAAAAGAAGGATATTTAAGATTACAAGAAGAGAGAATACATACCACGTCGCTTGTACAAAATCCCACGTAAAAAAGGATGACTTCCGTTTAATGATTGGGAATGCTGGGAAAAACCGGAAGTTAAAACAGTCAAAACCGGATTTCACTCTGGTTTCGTAAAACGCTCAGCTTGAGTTTACTACACTACGAAGCAAAATTGAAACTTCACTAGTTGGAGTGAAATGATTTTCGGTGGTTGCGGTGGGGGCACAATGTGAATGTGCGTTGTACTAATCTTTCTTACAAGTTACTCATACTGTTTTGAAAATCAGTATTCAAAACCTTCTCTTCTACTATACTGACCTCTGCTGACTCTTGTTTTATGGGCGCTTTGCTGTGGTGGGGTATATTGGTTTAAAAAAAACAGTAGCATGAAAAAGGGCCCCAAACTTAAAAATAAAGTTTTATCATCAAAATGTTTGTTAAGAGGAAAGATCAAAGTTTTTTTTTTAATTATTTTATTAAATTTTTTAATCCACCTTCGAAATTTTGAGCCAAAATTTTCTTTTCTTTTTTCTTTGCTTTTTTTTGTTTTTTTGCGTCAGCGGTTGACGTAACTTCTGAGTGTTTTTGCGCTTTTTTCCCGATGAAAAACACATTGATTTGGAAATTCTTGCAAAAATCAAATAATTGTTAGATTTTAATGAAACTTTCAGGACTTATTCACAAATGATGGAATTATTTTTTTTAATTTTTTTTTTTAAGAAAATCTTGATCAATATGTTACCACACTATTTAATTTCATGAAAATTCGAGAAATTAAATTTTCATCCGAAATTTTTTTTATTAATTATAAAAAGCAGGACTATTTGGAGAATATAAGTCAACATAAGTCAACACTTTTTTTTTTTTCAAGCTACTACTCATTTCCCGAAAATCTGCTCCGAAACGTAAAATAAAATGCAATATATGACGTTAAAAAAGCTTTTAATTGCTTTTATAAATAGAGATTTATTAAGGAAACTATTATTGATTTAAAAAAAAAAAGAAAAACAAATTTCGATGAATAATGAATATTTACAAGAAGTGTTTTCAATTCATTTTTTTTAAATGATCTTTTAAAATTCTGCATTACTTTCATCCGGTTAGTAGAGATATTGTTATTATTAAGTGAAAACTACTCACTAATCAAAAAATGAAAAGCTTAACAAAGTATTTTGCACCAAGATTTTAAAAACAATTTTTGTAAAAATAGTACGTGATGTGCCCCTGTTTGAAAGTATGATCGATCATACACAACATTTATCAGAAAATAAGAACGACGACTATAAAGTCAACATTCTTAAAATTAGATTACGCCACGGACAATATTTTCCAACATGTTCAGTTTAAGAATACTGAGTACATAAAAATTATATAAAAAAGGCGCTCACCCCTTATTTTTCTTAAATTATGTTTCTCCGTAGAACAACAATAAAAAGTGTTGATACTTTTTAACTTTTATCAGCACTTGTTTATGTGATTGACGAGCGGTGACAAACACGTAATCAACGCTACTGTTTGTTTTAAAAATCCAGTCTCTGTTATTTTAAACTTAAAGTAAATAAATTTTTTTTTTCAAATCAGAATCACCTTAAATCAGCTAATGTTCCACAAATAAAGTTTCAGAAAAGAAAAGTATGTTTTATTTTTGGAAGATTTTTAAAACCGAGAATTAACTTTTGTTTATGTCAAATATGGCCGATTTTAATGATTTTACTAAAAGCAACGAACAAAACTGATATTCCAATCAATATAATTTCTATTTGAAATACAGAGTACTTTGCTTACTGGAAATAGTAAATTTAATCCTTTAGCTTTCAAAAAAATATAAATAAATAAATAAGTAAAGTTAAAAAGAAAAATCTTTAAGAATGCTTTTTCAATTTTAAAAATTTATTTTGAAACTTAGATATCGAAAATTAGTGGCCGTATCTAACTCAGTACTGTGTGTAGCGAGGTTGATCTTCACATGGTGCCCAATAAAAAAATTAACATTATGAAAGACTAGATAGAGTGGTGGGAGTATGTCTTGGAATGTTATTCAAGTTGTAAAAGTTGCTGAAAAATTTTGTCAAGTTGCAAAATTCATTGAAGAAAAATGTCAACTCCCACCATCCATACAACATAAAGAAAGGGATCATCTGCTGCTTACAACACTGCGCAAAATTGCAATAATTGGCAGCCCAGAGACATTAGATAAAGAATTGGTCAGTATAAGTAGTACCCTACAACATAACTACTCTGGGTACATGGCAGCAGCCCCAAAATACTGGTATAGGTGGGTACACGAGGAGGACAACAACACTCAGAAAACAGTCTGTCTGCCTTATGTGAAGGGATTATCAGAGAAAATACAAAGGATCTGCGGTTCATATAACATCAGGACAACCTTCAAAAGCTTGACGACACTTCGCAGATATCTCTCCCAAGTAAGACCCCCCACCATAGAGGAGAACTGTGTGTACGCTATCCCGTGCAGCTGCGGAAAGATATATAAAGGGGAGACAGACCACCCTCTTAAGGTAAGGCTTCAAGAACAGCAGAAAGCTGTAACATGAGGGGGAAGTGGAAAAATCAGGTGTGGCTGACCACATATGGAGAGAGAAGGGAGATCACTGACCTCTGTGGGATCAGGTTGAAATCATAGACAAAGAACATCATTGAAAAATTCATAAACTTAAGAAATCAACACATATGCTAAGCCACAAAAATCTCCTGAGCTGACCAAGCATAGAAATGAATACAATATGGGAACCAGTAATAAGCAGTACCAGAGAAAAAAAGCAATAATAACAACAAAAATTGCAATATGAGCTCTGGTAAAAACATGTAACAATATCAGCAAAAATTGCAATATGTGCACTGGTAAAAAAAAAATTTCAAATTTAAATTTTGAATTTACTCCTAGATGTTGTAGCCCAACATATCGTACTATTTTCCAATTAGGCTGAATTCATGAGAAAATTAAAAACATCCCAGGCCAGATCCAAACCCCAAATCTTGAAATTTGTGATTCCCAAGTTTTCATTACTGCGATTGTTTTCAGACTTACCATCTTGGCTACTACTGATAAAAACAATTAAAGGGGCACAACTCTCTACTCTAACTTTCAATAGCCCATGTTCAAGTGAAAAATTACTGTTCTCAAATTACAGTGTTTCAAAATAAAATTGTACATGTTTTCAACTTTACTCCTAGAGGCCGTAGCTCAACATGTCAAACCATTTTGGAATCAGGCGGACTCTGTGAGCAAATTAAAAACATTTCAGACTGCATCTGGAGCTTCAATTCTGAAATTTTGGATTCATGAGTTTTCATTACTGCAATTGTTTTGATGACTTTTTTTTTTTTATGTGAATTTTTGTGACAAATTTTTTGTACGATAACAATTTTTATAATTTGGAAATAATCAAAATTAATTATAAAATCCAGCAAAAGTCACCCATGAAATAAAATATAATATAATATAATTTGAAGAATTATCATTGTAGTTTTAAAAAGCAAACTTAAATATTAACGCAGTGATCAATTTTGAGTTCTTCTGTAGTTTATTGTTGCTTATTGCATCTACTCCTCCTTACCTATTGTGATGAAGGCCCAATCAAGAGCTCTCTGCAGGAGCTGACTTAAATACCACCCAACTTTTGCAGCTTTTAAGCTAGTTAATTGATATAAACTAAATAGGGTTTATTACTAAAATTTAGTCTATATTGTATTCATATTGCTATGATTGTTTTTTTACTGAAACTGAGAACTATGCAGATGACAAAATTTGTCTTCAAACTATGACAATGCTCTTAAGCCTAAAATAATTTTCCACATATAAAACATATATAAAAGTTTTAGAAACTTCAAGAAATAAGAAGTAGGGGATGAAATTTTATTATTTATTTTTAAAAATTAATGTCAGTAATGATTTTAAACAAATGGTACAGCTCACTAACACTGTCATAGATTGAGGCTTCTGTTTACTTCTCATTTCCAGCAAGAGGTTGGTGGGTGGTTGAAGTTCCTTGCTTTCCCTATCAGAGATGGACCTACATTTTTGGAGCCCTAAAGCTTGAACAGATATGGGGAACCCTTTGCAACTATCAACAATAGATTCAAGGATCCAACTGCCAAAATGAAGAAGAGATTCTAGTGAGTTCAAGGAGTCTGTAGAGTAAATGGAAGTGAACAGTATCAAATCAATGGAGCAAATGACAAAAATAAACACACTCTGCAAGGGCTCTACGCAGCCTTCCAGTTTTCAAACATACTTCAAATTTTTATTCTAATAAAATTAAATAGCCAATAAAATCAGTTTCCATCAATAAATAAACATACAAGCCCATAAAAAACAAACATTCATTCAAATCAGCAGAAGTATTGACAGCAGTGAAGAGACACAAGTCAACTTCCATCTTCCTGTCTTTCTCATTAATCCAACAGTGGACTCCCTTTCATCATGTCTCCCAACTCCACTTACTCTCTTCCTCACTGAAAGACTATTCATGTTCATTTTCTTACAATCAAAGAGAAGAACTGTCTAACTTTCATATCATGATAAGTAATTACAGTTAAAATTTATGTATATTACATTTATATCATTTTATTTGAAGACATGCCAATATTTTCTGTCATTTTTTTTACTCAACAGAGAGTGACCCATGAAATCTTTCCCCAACAAGTCCATATGGCAGCAAGCCCCTGAGAAAATTTTAAAATTTGACCAATTAGAAGGGAATTCTGAGGCCATATGAAATGTATATTAGAGCATATTCTATGACCAACATTAGCTTACTTATGATTCTCTCACTAAAATGGACTTATTTTAATAACAAACACTTAGAAAAAAAACACTGATTTTGTTAAAAAATTTACTCACTAGAAAAAGTTGCTTTAGGGTCCCCTCTGAAATTAGAGGCCCTAAAGCTTAAGTTTCATTAGTTTCATAGTCGATCAGCCACTACTAGAGTAGAAAAGTTGAAATGTGACTATAACAATTAAGATGAGAATACTAGTCTGAATATATCAGTCTAATAATAAGTGTCACAATGTTTTTAAAATAGCACATTTGTAAGATAAGCAAAATAAAAAATGTCTTCCCAAAAAACCTTACCTTTTCACAATCTGTCTATGTACCTATCCCAAAGGAATAAGATAAAATCTAGAGATAAAATCATTATCATTTGTATTTTCATTTATCATTCCAAGAAACTGTTTCTGTTTTTACTTTGCATTTTCAACTGGTTTTTGTTACATTTGCATCATTGCGAATAAAGACCCTTCATGTACGACTTAGATTATTTTTTAAAACATTTCACCCAAACAAGGCAATAAAGCCACTGACACAAGAGGTTACTGAGTATGAATGGAACTGAGAAAATGTTATTGATCAAAAACGACAATAAAAGAACAGGATTCAAAAAAACAGATAATGACGATTGACATTGCATTTAAATTTTTGTAGACTAGGCCGCTAAGATGCAGGAGGTTACAGAGAGTGAAAGAAAATGAGAAGACTTTAGAGAGAAGTGAGGAAATGACTATAAAGAAACAGAATTCAGGAAGACAGAAGATAGCAATTGATGTTGCATGTATATTTTTGAAGATTGTAGGTGGCAGGGAAGCAAGAAACAGGAAGGGAATTCCACTGATAAGAAGTGTGAGAAAAGAAACTGTTGCATCTACTATTCAACAGTAAAACAGTGAGACCTAGTTGCCAATCTAGTAGCACGTTTAAATTCATGTAGTCGAGGCACCAAGAAAAAAAGCTCATCAGAACAACTGCCATGAAAATATTTGTAGAAAAGACAGAGGGAGGCCATGTCACATCACTTTGAGAAAGTGACTGAAGTCAAGATGCCAGGTCAAGATCGATTACATTACAGACCCTTCTTTGAATTTTGTCAAGAATTTTGAGAATAAGACCAGATATGATAGCAGTATTCAGTGAATGGATGAATGGTAGATTTATAAATTTTTTGGAGTTGACAGGAAAGCAAGAAGCCAGAAAAAGACAGGTGAGAAATGTGTGAGAAGAAACTTACTTGTGAAATTGTTAGATTACTAGCATAGTACCCATAAAAATAATAGGATTATTTACATATGAATAAATTATATAAATATATATATATATATATATATATATATATATATATATATATATATAATATATTCTGTCTGAATTCTGATATAGGGAATTATCATCAGGGCTGGTATATACTATGCTCAGACCACCCAACTGGGGGTGGGATGATTGGGGGCTCAGAGCAGAACTTTGTAACCCTCACTATCTTATCAACATTTGCTTTTTCTAATTACATTTATATATGTTACAAATTAAACTAATCACAATTGACTATTAAATTATGAAAAATGTTTGTAGATTTTGACATCATTTTGGGGTCTTTTTTTGTCCAAATACATGAATTTACTTTACTTATGCTAATTCTAAAGAAAACAATATATAAAATTCATTATGTTTTGTCCATGATGTTGAGTGTATTAAAATTATTCAACATTTTAACAAGAAAATCCTCAAGTTGATGTTAAAAATTTCCACAAAAATTGTTGATGGAATTGTCTATTTTGACATGTCTCTAACTTGTATTAAATACATTGTATTTGTTTTCAATTTTTCTAGTTGAATTGCTCACCTATATAGCCTATGGCTTTTATGTCAGAAAAAGATGTTTTTATGATTCTGGTATTTGGGGGAAGTATTCTGGAAGTTGGTGCATGGAGCCAGACAAGTTTAAGGTCTGTCTTTGTAATATGAGCTGTGGATGTTGAAGAATTGGAGTTCCAAGTACGACAATAGGATTACCATATATATAACGTTTACTTGTATTTTAAACAAGTGAACATTATATATATATATATATATATATATATATATAGATAGATAGATAGATAGATAGATAGATAGATAGATAGATATATATTTAGGCAGCAATCCCTATTTTATACATGTTTCATTAAAGACAACTAAGAAGGTACTGTAATTAAACTTTTTATTTAATTTTCTTGTGTTCATACAAGTGTTTTCTTTTCTGGACACTAAGTGTGCAAAAAGTACCCAAATGTTCTGCATTTTCTAGCAGTTTTGGTTATACTTTTAGCCATTATCAAGGATGATTTTATTTTTACTTTTTAACTGAATGTATAGGTTGTGTGTCTGTATCTAGAGTTATAGGGATGTTTTATTTTTCAAACACAGTCAGCACATTGTGGGTGTGTTCGTAGTTAATGTCATTGAATGTTGGCTTTTTCTTTTCCATGTAATTTTTCTTAGGGCTTCCATTGTTTTTAATCTTTTTTACATGCAGATGATGTTATTCTTATATTTTCTACTATATATATATACATATATATATATATATATATATATATATATATATATATATATATATATATATATATATATATATGTGTGTGTGTGTGTGTGTGTGTGTGTGTGTTATAGATAATTTTCTACTATAATTATATATGTGTTATAGATAATAAAAATGAGGCATGAGAACTCTCATACATATTGCAGGTGTTATTTCTATCTTATCACTCATTATATATTTTCTGTGAACCTATATATAAAAGCTGTTATATAAATTTTAATCATCACAAACTCAATTTGGTCAGTTGGTTTTGGACATCAAATACTGAAGAGATGAAGTTTGCAGGTAAGCCTATCGTTTTTTTTTTTTAATTCTACATTAATTTAAATTTAAAATCTTTGTTTATCCTTTTTTCTGGAATAATCATTTTTATATTTTTGAATTCAGCATCTACTTTTTGTTTTTGTTAATACACATGAAAAGATTTTATGTTCAACACAGACTGACATTTCTCAGATAAATTACAAAAAATATGTGAAAATAGTAGCTTTTTCTTTTTAATCCTTTCACTCCAAGCAAGGCAACATTTTTGCAAGGACACAGGGTGTTACAGGGAGGGAAAAAGAATGAGAAGACTTTAATGCAAAGAAATGAAGAAAGGAAAATAAAGGAAAAGAGTTCAGAAAGACAGACAGAAGACAGAAGACAGCAACTGATGTTGCGTGTATATTTTTAAAGATTGTAGGTGGCAGAGAAGCAAGAAACCGGAAGGGAGTTCCACTGACAAAAAGTGCGAGAAAAGAAACTGTTAGAATAGAAGATATGGTTGGATCTACTATTCAACAGTAAGATAGTGAGACCTATTTGCCAGTCTTGTAGAATGCTTAAATTCATGTAGTCAAGGCACCAGGGAAAAAAACTCATGAGAACAGCTGCCATGAAAATATTTGTAGAAAGGACAGAGGGAAATCATGTTACATTAGTGATGGAATGAATATGCATACACCTGGGTTCCCCCTCACAGTAATATGATTGGCTGGTGTCAGCCATAAATAAAGACTGATTTGGAGGCTCAGGACAACGCCTATTGGCTACGCCTATTGCCTATGCCTATTGCCTACGCCTATTGCCTATGCCTATTGCCTACCACTACGATGAGGACCAGTCCATTACAGTTACCTGCTAGATTGTCCTACTTGGTTACAGTAATCAACAACCACTTTGCTACTTTGAACAAATATACCCCTTCCCAGGACATATCAATTAGCAAGAAAGTGACTGAATTTAAGATGCCTGGTCAGGGTTGATTACATCACAGACCTTTCTTCGAATTTTGTCAAGAATCATAAACACCAAACTAGATGTGACAGACATATTCAGTGGATGAACAAATGGTAAATTTATAAATGTGCAAGAGGGATTCTGACAAGAAAAGTTAGCTAAATTATTTTTTTAAATCAAATAGAAATCTACTATTATTCTTATTTCAAAATAGAATACCTACATATTGGCATCCGATCGACCTTCATGCTGATTTCCTGTATGCTTATATACTCCTATTTCTGACTGTAGTTATGTGGCCAAGTGGATAGATTGTTGGCATTCCAAATTAATAAATTTCATAAGCCTTTACCTGAAACATTCATAGAACCTAAATATTGGGAAATGTTTTAAGATTTTTTTTCCTTCATCAGCCAAAGATTTACATTAACTTCATTTTTAATTCTAGGTACATGTTTTGGTATTACCTTCATCAGCCAAAGATTTGCATTGATTTCATTTTTAATTCTAGGTACATGTTTCAGGATTTTTATTCTCTTCATCAGCTAAAAATTTGCATTGATTTCATTTTTAATGGTTGGTACATGTGTTAGAAATATCTATTTCCTTGATCAAACAAAGATTAACATTGATTTATCTTTCAATTCTAGGTACATATTTCGAGACTTCTAGTCCCTTCATCAACTAAAGATTTACATTTGCTTTCATTAAGTTCAAATGCCAAATTACAATACAGACTTGTAACAGAAAATAATTCAAAACTCTTATGAAGAAGATAATTAAGTAATACAGTAGTAGATGTCTCATCATTTTACAGTTGAAATTGCCAGATGTAACTGCAAGTTCTATGCTATCAGTTTCTTCAATCACACTTCTCACTTGTGGAACTATCTTCTGGCTTCTTGCTTTCTAATCAAATTTGATCTTCAACAGTTTAAATGTAATGTCAATCATTATCTTCTGTTTCTTTTAAATCCTGTTCTTTGATAAATTTCATTACCTACATACCAACTAATTCAGTACGAAAGCATTCAGTTATGCATTTGTGGATGATTAAGTATGAAGGGATGCTGAAAAATTATTGGCTTGAAGCACTTCCCAAAATCTTACCAAATAATTAAATCTCAGATTTTTAGGAAGAAGAATTTCTTGACAATAACTTTTCAGTAACTCCTCATGCAAACTTAACTCTTTGAACCTGAGTAGATGGTATACTAGCTGCTGTGAGAAAGTGTATATACCTCGGCAGTCAGTATACCACCCAGAGTTGTGGACAACAGAGATGGACAGCAGGAGCACAGGGTGAGAGATCCATACTCATAGTGGTGGTAGGAGGAGGGTCAGGGTTCAATGGGTTAACTATTACATGAGAAGATTTGATGTATATTCATTAAAGTAAATCTGTAAGATATCCAAGTATGTAAATATATGTGCAGATGAAGTATTGAATGAACAAAGTGTCGAATGAACAAAATGCTGAACAGAAAAAGCGTCAAACTGACAAAATGACAAAAGGCCAAAAGTGTGTCTAAAATAAAATACCTTTTACTTAGCATGCAAGTATCCAGCTGGTAAATAATTATTTTTAAATTTTAAAGTAATATAAAAGACTCCATTAAAGGTATCATAAATGTCAACAGGAGGAATAAATGGAATTATGGCTTTTAAAAATGAAAGGAATAATTGAAATAAACTGAATTATGAGGTAGGTGCCAATTTATAGCCCCTAATGAATATATATATATGAGAAGAATCTCAATTCAGTTTGGTAAAAAAAAAGAACTTAATAAACAACCCCACACAAATTGGACCATTAACCAATGATTATGGAGGCTTAATCTCTTTTAAGGCTAATATTTATTAAATGATGCCAAAGGTAAACAATAAAAAGTTTAGAATAGCTTACCATTAATTGAAGTGTTTGAGTCAAGCTTTTAAAACCATGACATTATGTTTGCTTTTATTTTGTTCAACTTTTTGTTCTTTTGATAATTTGTCTTTTTGTCATTAATCAGTTTGACTCTTTTTTCATTCGGCACTTTTTCCATTTGACACCTTTTCCATTCAACACTTTGTTCATTCAATACCTAGTCTGTTTGATACTTTGTTCGCCATTTGTTACTTTGTCTTTCAACACTTTAGCTATATCTAAAAATTTATATAATGCTTTTTTTTCTTATTTGCTTTTGTTGTTTAGTGTTAGCCCTTGTCCTGCTGGTTGCAGTTTGCTGCCCAGTTCAGTCAAATGACTCTGACAACATAGATATAAAAAAGATGATGAAGCAAATTGGTCATGCATTGGTTCATGGAATAACACATAAAATCAAGGGCTTTTTTGGTGCAGTCGCTCAGATGTTCAGATCAAAGGAAGGAAAGGTAAGAACAATGGCTGTTTTACTAAGGGTCTAATGCAGTAATTGCATTTTAGAAAGCCTTCTGTTTTTGGCTAATATTATATATTAGCAATGTATACCATCAACATGATAAAACTGGAAACAAAAACTGTAAGATATGTATTATATTTTTAATTGAATATTGGTACATGTTTCAAGACTTCTGTTCTCTTCATCAGCCAAAGAATTACATTGATTTCATTTTTAAGTTCAAATTCCAAAGACAAATACAGACTTGAAACAGACAATAATTCAAAATCCTTAGATAATTCAGCAATGCAGTACTAGATTGTTGGCAAGGTCTAATCATTTTACAGTTGAAAATGCTAGATGTAACTATAGTGAAGAAAACGGCGACTTACCTCATCAAACCAATCGACAGCGTGTCGCGTGTATTCTACAACAGAAAATGTGGCGAAAAAGAAAATTATTTACCAAACAAAAGGGCACGTATTCCACATGACATGCTGAAAATGGAATATTTGAATTAAAAAAACAAGTCCATCACAGGAGTCGCTATAAAAGTATTTTGATATGCAAATTACTGAACATTCTCTCCCAGCTGTCAATGAATGAAAAAAAAATGTTCGGCTGATAAAAGGAGTTGGTGTTCTCGAATCGTGAGGAGAAAATTTGGGTATTTTGGCTACTGCGTTTGTTAGAGAGTGTGTTATTTTTCTGACTGGTTACACGCATTGTGATTTGTGAGATAGTACCAACGAATCGAGTTTTCAGCATTTCTTTCTGTCCCCGATATTCGAGTCTGTACTTACAGTGATTTTTCTTTGTGTTGTAGAAGTAATCTGCGACAAATACTTTCTTTGCTTTCAGAACGCTTACAGTAACCATAAGTTCTATGCTAACAGTTTCTTTTCTCACACTTATAACTTGTGGAACTCTCTTCTAGCCTCTTGCATTCCAATTAACTTTGATTTTCAAAAATTTAAATGCAGTGTCGATCATTATCTTTTGTCTTGTTAATTCCTGTTCTTTTGTTCTCACTCCTTAATGTTTTTTTTTCACACGCAGTAACATTTTGTGTCTTAGTGAATCTATTGCCTTATTTGGGGTGAAATGATTAAAAACAATTTTAATTCTTATAGAAAGTATATATATATATATATATATATATATATATAGTCATCCACAGACAGACTGTTTTGCTGTATCACATCTCCTCAGTGTGGCCAGATGTCCAATTACTTCAAGCCAGGATCAAAACCCGACTGATTTGACATTAGTCAAATATCTTACCCCTAGGTCATAGTTGCACGGCAGAAAGGAAGTGAATTTTAATGTTTTTCTCTATATGAAATACGCCAGTGGCTCAGAGAACTCAATTCATGCTTGAAGAGTAATGCTTAATATATATATATATATATATATATATATATATAGAGAGAGAGAGAGAGAGAGACAAGCAGACAGACAGACAGAGACAGAGAGAGATAGAGAAAGAGAGAAAGCAAGAGACTGATAGTGTGTACATAGACATCAACACTGCATGGTGATTGTCAGTTTCCCTATTTGATCAGTTGAAGATTACTTAAGGCATGAAACTGACACTCCCAATACCAATACATATTGTCAATATCCAGAAATGTTCTATTTCTGCTATTCAGCATTCTTTCCTTACAAATATGCCAACATTTTAAACAATATAATTACATATATATGTATATATATATTTATATCATTAAAAATAACTGACAAGGTACTTCTGTTAATTTTTTATTGGACTTTTTTTGTGCATGCTTTTTAGGACTTAGTGTGAACAGAAAATATTCAAAGGATTTTGCTTTGCTGTGTAAGTTGCTGAGAGGTAGAAATATTTTTAATTCCTTAATTCTCAACAATATACTAGTGGGGGTAAATAATATTACATGTCAGGTAAGTCACCAAATAATAGAGGTTAATAGTATCATGTCATGTCAGGTTGACCCAGATAATGGTGTGCTATGGAAGAAAGGTTTATTTTTCCAGTTTACATTTCCCCCATTATGGGCATTATTATATCCATGATATCATAATACTTTAATTTATAGATGGAACAGAATGGCTGAAATGAAAAGGAATGACAAATATGTTTGGTTTTCAGAGATAGCTTTATGCCGCTAAGTCATACACAAAATTATACATACATATTTACATGTGTCCTATACAGAGAAAATATAACACATATCTACACAACAAGCAGTGTGAAAAGAGAACAAAAAGATAGGGTCTTACATATAATATAGAGATTCTTCTGTGTTCCTGGAGATTCTTCTGGAGAAGTCATATTTAAGATTCCGGATTCAAATGGGCCAGATTTATCTGCTATGTCCCTAGCAAGAATATATTCTACAAATGGAGAAACAGTGTGTTTTGGTTTTGTTTTTTTCCAAATCACTGCGAGACGGGGGATAGATAGAAGCTGGCTGGAGAAGGCAGATTTAACTTTTTTTTTGTTTAAAAAAGAAAATTGTTGTTTGCGGACAAGAAAAAATTTAACAGTAGTGTCTCATCAGTCATTTCTTAATGAAATCGGAATTAAAGATAGATTACTGCTCAAATACACAATACATACAAACAATATATAGTAACAATGCATAGTAACAAATAAAATTAACTGTTTATTTATCTGGTCCTACTTTGGGTCTTGCAGAGATTGCATTCACTCCTCTGGTGGAGGTTTGATAAAAAAAAATTATTTTTGGAAAGACTATCATATATAAGATTAAACCATATTAGCTTTGCTGGATCAAAACTGCACACATCAGAAAGCCGTGTTTGTAAGTATATTTTTAAGAAACTTTTAAAAGTAAATTCAAATTATATAGGGTGTATGCAAATAGGGTGTATGCGAATGTGTTTTGTGGGAATTCATTCACCCATTTATAAAATAAACTAATATATATTGATATACTTTTCTGATTACACTTATTCTCTATATAATAAAAACTCTCTATAACAATGAGAAAAGGTATATAAGCAAGGCTTAAACTGATAAATTCACTTCCAATAAAGAAATTAGGTAACTACATGTGACATTAGGTAGAGACTAACCAGTGGTGGCAACCTACCAGTTTGTACAAACTGATTCTTAAAATTATAAAATCTTAGGAAACTGGTTGTTGGATTATCCAAAAATAATCTTATATATTAATAGTCAGTCAGTTATGTGCCATGCGTGATACACCCTTAGGCGATCAGGTATTTTTCGATACATGATTGACAAGGCAGATTTTTTTCCCTCAGTAGGTTGCCATTTCTTTCTGCATTAGACCAGTTGCCATCCAAGGCTATAGAACCTGGTCTTTCCTGCTATTTACCCATTGCTTGGGGGAGGAAGAAGAGGATTCATACTTTTCCTAAGGGTATTAGCATGTAAGTGAATGTAATGGATACAACTTGAATTCGAACTCGGCTCTCCGATTCCTCAATCCAAGCTGCTATCCATTACTCAACCATGCCTTCTTGATTTTTATCCCCTCTGTAAGGGAGACTGGGCTGATTCCTGGAGGTACTGCAATACCAAGCCAACCCATGGCAAAGGTGGTGGAAGCCGCTAACTCTTTGCAATGTTGCAAAAATCAGTTTAATATCGAAGTCCCCACATTGGGGACTTATCAGATATTGAGCTGATAAGAACAGATACTACACTTTGATCTTAGCCAAAAGAACCGATATATAGTGATTTTCCAAGCGTAGCTCAGATGTGGCACAAGGCCGAAAGTAAGGGGGCACCCAGTGAGGATAAAACTCAATACTCAGTCATAATTGAGCTATCAAGACAAGCTTGCTAACCATTACACCACCTCGAGGTGCCCAAGAACTGATATATAGTAGCTAAAAATATAATTAATACCATTTCTGTAAGTTCTTCAGAGGCTGAAAGAGGGTTTTTCTGTGATGAACATAATTTATTCTGACAAAAGAA